ACTTTCACTTTCATCGAGAGAGGATACATCGACCAACTGGATTCCCAAAGGCTTTCACCAACTGGCGTCATTTCATCTCTCCGATTCCTGTGATGAATAAGTTCATTTTTATATTTTCTTTGTGCTTGGAATTTGTTTATCGATCGGATCGGCTTTCTGGGGTAGGGTTGTGCTAGCCCAATCAATGCTGAAGCTTCCCTCTTTATCCGGGCTTAGGACCGGCTAGTAACTAGTGAACTAGTTAACCAGGCAAAGTTTCATCTACATATGTACAATGTTAAAATCAAAATGACTAGCTGCAATCATATACCTCGTTTGTTTGGCAAATGTAGTAAATATAACTGCCACAGAAGTCTGCTAGCTTAGAGTGCAGATGACAATAGTTTGATCTTCTGTAGGATTGTAGACTTGATTCTGAACGTTTCATGACCATACGTGGTGACACCATTGTCACTATCTGATTTAGTTGTGTTGCAAGTATATAGGTCGGATGCATGTTTAAGCAGTGTTTCCCTTACCAGTAACTAGTGTACTAGTTAACTAGGCGAGGTTGACCACTTTTATTTAGTTCTTTAAAAGCTGTTGTCATGACTACTGTGTGTTTAGTATCTAGCATATGTTAAGCGATGGTCGGAAATGGACGTTTTCACCTGAACGTATCAGACTTGTGGAGGTCATTTATTTTTGAAGCCACTTGGGTACATGTTGAACCATCCGTAACTGAATTTCACAATTACTCCTCACTATGTATGTGTGTCCACACATGCATAAAATTGGTAGACACAGTAGTATGTGATGCAATCGTTTAATTGTTGTTTTTGTTGTGTGTTTTAAAATTGATTTTGTCTTCGCCACAGTGAATACCTTGGCTGCATAATATGTTTTGCAGATGACTGATCTAAGCCTTTTTCCTCACAACGAAGCTATATGAATCGCCTCAAAATGGTAATCAGATGTAGACATTTTTCATGTCAACGTAACACTGTGTACTTTCCAGTGGTAGATAACTTTTGCACTTGTCGATAAATTCCAACGGGTAGCCATTCTGTATCAGTGCTGTCGTCAGTAAGTTGGTTTCTTCCCCCTTGGTGTCGCCGATGCAGATGAGGTTTATCCTGTTGAATGAGCATCTAACTAAACCGTGTTTATATTGGACTGAGTAATAGCTATGGTTCTCATTGACTAAATTGACCCTTTTCGTAAATCTTCATATAAATAACTTATTGACGGTTAATGCGAAAATATTCTTCATGCAGATCAATAATTCTAGCAGTTTTCCCTGTCAATAAAAACTGGTGTTGTGCAACAGCTGTATTAACAACTGCTCACTTACTTACTTTTGCTGCTAATAACCCTTTATTTTTAAAGTGTAGCTTTTAATATTATCTGGGGCTTTTCAGAGTTAAAACGAAGGCTTAGGTACACATCTTAACTTTATTCAAAGAATCACTATAAGAACATATTTTAATCCGAGAATGTTTAAAATGATTAAAGCCAGATTTTTCTGTACGTTTTAATATGCAAGCCACAGTTTATTCCACAGCAAATACGGATTTTTATTAATGTCAAAATATATAGCCAAATAACTCATCAAATATTTAGTAAATGTAGGTCATTGGCTAGGTAGTTTTTCTATCTAAATTGAAAAATCAAGATTAATCATTACCAGTTCAGGCTTGTTATTGTTATTTGTCAACGAAAATGTAGGATAGTCAAACTTGTGTCTGTGTATTTATGTATGTTTTACAATACCAGTTGTTTTTTGTACTTTTATTTATGAATCGTCAATACTTGTCCTTCCCCCACTTTCAGTTTTCATAAACAATACCCTAACGAGTAAATGTATGTTCGAAATGTATAGCTCAAATACGTCATACTTTTCAGATAGTCTACATCTTCATAAAAGGGACCAACCAAATTACGATAATTTACATTTAGGCAATACCGAGGCATTCGCATAGGAGCTCATATGCTAGTACAGGTAGAACAATTCGACCCAATAAAACAAAGGAGAATTACAAGATATCAAAAAATAGTAATAAAGGGAGGAATCGTTTACAATTGTCATTGTTATTGTAGCTTCAATTAGAAAAGGCCATCGTCAGTGGTCTCATCGGATTCATGTTTGCCAAATAGGCGATAAGTCTGTTCCTTCTTTTCTTTTTATGGTATGTTGCTAACATATTAAGGGCCACGGAAGTTAGCCTTTTTTATATGAATGGAAACCTTTTCCGAAATACTTAGCGATGATATTGATTGATGGTCTTGCTAAGCCCTGAACTGACAGAAGTGGGAAACGTGGACCACTGGATTGTGACCCAGTGGCTCAGTGGTAGCGTGCTGGCCACGGAACCTGAAGGTCACGGGTCCGGTCCCTGACGGAGCCACGAGTGGACACTGCTTAGGGTTCCCATACTAGGACGTAACAGCTGTCCAGCTCCCCCAGGTTGCCAGTGTTTCTGTTACTGATGTGAGTCCATGATGAATACCAACTTAAAATCAATAAATCCCCACAAACACCCAGACTAAACTTCCCCAGTTTGTCTACATCCTCAGAATGAACCATGTGCCCACTTTCAACCAGAAATAGCTGCGCATCCAATCGAAGGACTAGGTTTCCAACTTCTTCGAGGACAATCGTAACAACTATGGTCTGGATGTTCATAATGTTATTCACAGATGCAAAATAAGACATAAGTTGTTCGAAACACAAGCTAGTATGCCACTGATGTGTTTTTGAATACCATATTAGGAAAAGGCTCGGAAACTGTAAGACAAAAATACTTGATATTCATGTTTAAACATACACAAGAGTATAAAAATAGCAGTACTCTTTTAAACCGATATGCTTAAGCTGTATTTTAACGAATGTGCGCTTAAATTTCACCAAAGTTCATCTGAGTAGAGCGTAACACATTATTCACGAATATGAGTAAAGTAGAGGGAATTTAAAGGCCACCCTAGAAACACCTGGACTAACCAATTAGATTTCTGTATTTTATGAAAATCTGCCTTTCTAGCCGAAATAGCAAATTTCGGTTGGTTATTTCAGCAGTTGACAGGATGGCCTTTAAAGTCACTTGGCTTCGAAGGTCACCTTAGCAACTGATGAGATAACCAATTAGGGCTCAGTTTTATCCCGGTAAAGTCCTTTCCACAAAATAAAGGAATATAATTGGCTGCCTCATTAGTTGCTAGGGTGGCCCTTAAATCGCCTTTAAAATACGATGCAGTAGATATCAACACATCCCATTGAAGCACACTCAAAATTAAGCATATACTGTTTTCACGTGACTTTCGGGTGACTTTAAAGGCCACACTAGCAATTGTTGAAATAGCCAATCTGGTTTCGGTATTGAGGCTAGAAAAGTTTTCATTAAATATCGAAATCTGATTGGTTAATTTGGCTGTTGCTAGGGCGGCCTTTTATTGTCACTCGACTTGTCGGCACAATGAAGTGGTTAAGGATTGACTTACAGTACTTCATAGTCTTTCTAAAAAGGTTATCGCAGGCATAAGAGTAATGACTAGTGTTGACAGTGTGCCTATGATGGGATAAAATTAGAACCAGCCCCATCTAGGCAACTAGTTTAATGGTCTATCGACGGAACTGGGAAAATCAACTATTAAATGTCTCGAGATGTTCAGTCATTCGCAGTTATTTGTAGCAGTTAAGCTAATAGAACATCCGCTGTTAACCGGGTAGAAACTGGTTTGTATCCTGGTAAGTCTTCCTTTCAACACTAGTCATTATCTCTGTAACCACTATGGTTTACTGCTCAGACTGTAAAGTACTGTACGTCAACATGTACCACCATATTAATTTCATAAGACAGAGTAGAAAAAATACCCAATGGTTTCTGTTTCATAAAGTTGTGGTAAGATCAGTTTTGAAATTCTGCTATGATAAAAGACTATAAGCGACAACCATCATCTTTCTCTGTATGAATGTGATACTATTCTGCAAATCAAGACTGTCGTTTATACTCTAATTACTATTCCAGATTAATATGCATCAACTTAGTTCCTGATATCTTGAAAAATTTCCAACTATCTCATTATGAGTTTAAGAGCATTCAGGTGAATTATTGATTATGGCCGACCCAGGTGTTAAGTGCTCTCAAGTTTTCAATGGTCTCCAACTGATGTCATTCTGTGATGAATACTACCTCAAAATCAAAGTCCTTGTTCACCTCAGAACACAATACTATATAGTCCCCATTAGTGACATGCTTCCAGATGGATATCCCGAAGTTATAATGAGAAGCCGTGAACTGTAGGGTCAACCATCTGGAAGCATACTGTTGAGGAGTTCCATGCTAGGACGAAACAGCTATCCAGTGTTCCCAGGTTTTCGATGGTTCTTCGACTGATGTTTGTCCGTTATAACTACTACCTTGAAACAAATAAATCCCCATAAACCTTAAACTAAAGTCTTGGGATGGCAAAAAACAGGGATTTCGAAAAATGTTTTGTGACGTCTTTCATAAACAATCCAGTTTTCTATGTAATGGTAAATGAAAAGAATTTCTAGTATACGAATGTGAATGCGAATTTGCATTCAACTACCAGTGACAGATTTAACAGAAAACGTACATTTTCGTCACTCAGTACATTTGTCGAAAAGAATCTTATCAGTAACAATCAGTAGAACTAACAAGCAATATAATATAGCACAATGCCTCTGAGATGACTCATAGATGCAATGTTTAAGCTGTAACAACTTAACAAGTACTGCAGTCGATAAAATTATACACAATTCGAATTAAACTTCATTGTCATCAAACAAAAGAAGCTAATACTCTTGAATAGTCCAAGTGTACTGTGAGTACTATTCAGTGGAGATGATATCATCTTAAAACTGTAAATGTTATATGCATCTTACAAACATGTTCAGTGTATAATGCTAAACTATATTTACAATCTTAATACTTTTAACAAACCTGGCCTTGATATGTATTGAAAATTCTTTTTTGTTATCTCTGATGTCCTTTATGCAGAAAATCTTCAACCATTAGAAGACAAAGTATGAAAGAACATGTCACCACTACACGTACAGCATACACTACAAATCCCAGTGAAAACCCCTCCAATGCTACAATAGTTAATGGTGAAATTGTGAATAAATTATCCTCAACAAACAACACAAATACCTCATTACCATTTGGAAATGCTGTGGTCAATATGATGACTGAAGCTGTACATGCTGTAAGTGGGAATAGTGGTAGCGGTATTACTGGTGTAACTGGAGCTACAACTGGTCATGCAGCAAACGTTTGTGAAGCATGTCATAAAACTAAATTCGCTGACAACTCCGGAAACTTATGTATTTATTGTAAACGTAGAACCTGTACACGATGTGGAAGTCATTCTGAAATAAAACCCAATGTGGTAAGTAAATACTCATTAAAAAAATGATATTTCATAATTAGTTAGGACTATGGATATACTAACTGGAGACAAAAAATTCATTGTAAGAGATTCAACAAACATTTGTGGTCAGAAGTTACTTCCTTGGAATGACCATTTCATTTTTATAATTTCAGTAATTTACTTTATGAAAAGGCAATTATTTTCCGACTCACTTACAGGAGGATCGATTATTAGACGTGGTAGTATCTTTATTCAAAACTGTTTGGCAGTGGATAAACAGTCTACAAGACACCTTTTCTAATATTTCATACAGTTTGTTAGCAGTATCAATAGTTCTTGATGTATTTCACAGTATCCACAACATTGACGAACTGAAATGTTTGAAAAAAGCTTGAACAAAGAATTAATATGATTCATTGTATAAAGTGTAATGTACTTGTCTAATCCAGGCTTAGTTCATTCTTCTTCAACCCTTAGACCTTACTGGAAAGACCTTTTCAGTCCACTTTGTCACACTTGATTAGAAACAGCAAAGCCTAGTAACAAATGAATACGCTTGATTAGGATCTTTCTTGTAAGACAGTTGAGGAAAAGTACAAAATACTTACTGTTGTAGCTTGTTCTAATGTGCTACTGTGAAATTACTAAAGTGAAATTCACTTTATTAATAGATTTCTTGTTGTAATTGTAGAACAATAAGCAGTAATGGTAGCAGCAACGGTAGAAGTTTTAGCAAGAGAAGCAGCTGTGGTCAGTTAACCTTATTCAGATGATCTTAGATATTTTAGTGTATCAGATGAAGTGGTCCGCATACATTGTCGATAATATTTGACCCAAACGAACTTTGTTCTGTATCTATTTAAATCAATCCAATCAGCCTAACTTTCAGAAAAAACATGTTTTTAGTTGCATAAGAGCTACCACATTCATCGCTACAAGTAGTGATTGGATAGATTACGATCGTCTCGTTCTTAAGTACTTAACTGTGATTGCTTTTTAGTTCGTTCACTTCAATTATACAAAAAGATGCAGTTTTACAAATATTTATTGTTGAATAAATACGGCATTATACCTCCTGTTTATTGTTCGCCATGATTACTTCTTATGAAGTCTGACTTGTGAAATCCACTGTACAGCGTTCATATATTCATTTAACGAGATCAGTTCATGACGCTAATTAATCTTCAAACTGAGACGCGTATTCATATTCAGCTCTCTTTTGGATAATTTAAACCTACTCAGCTTTGAAACAAACAATGAGATTTCTGAGGTGATTTTATGTTGTTTTATATATTATTGTTGGGACACAAACGATACAACATGAACACCAAGAGATGGATCATAAAAAGTGAGAAGGTAACATTATGAAGAACCTCAAAGGGGAAGATATAGCAAAAGCAAAGACAGCAGTGAACTATTAAAAAGATGGTCTTAAGGATACATCTGAAGAAGCATTCATTACTTTCGTTTTATTATTAGTAATAGAAAAGGAAGGAAAACTGAATTAAGGTCACCATTGGTTTCTATTCTGATCCACTTTTGCTATTGTCTCAAGCCACTGATTCGAATCATGTGCTTGATTCCATACAAGGAGTCGTGAAGCACCTGGAGATGCTAACCGAACTCAACAGTTTCTTGCTACATACCGCAACATCGTAAACTGGTCACCTCTCAGCTTCTTCCAACCAGTAATCGCTACGAGGGTCACTGGAATGGCATACACAACACATATCCAAACCACCAAAGATGATGTTTCGAGGTGGCCATACTTAGTAAATGATGATCACGCCCAAATACATATCACCTCATCTCTGAATCACTAGCACGGTATTTCCATCAGGTACGAGCAATCCTCTGGAGACAACGGTAATCAAAGCTCGTAATCCTCGGTTATCCACAGCTTAGAGAGACCAGATTTTACTGGGACATGAATCAACCATAAGTTGGTAACTGATGCAGCTATCTAGCCCCTGGAGCCTACCAATGTCCAAAGTCGATCAATCGATTCTACAATGTGACTACATAGCTGCGTAATGCAACATTATAACGCAGTTTATTTTGTTGTTCAATATTGCTAAATGGTTGTGCATAGGCAATATACTTTCAAAGAATGTCCGTCACGGCCTAGAATGCCTAATCACAAAGTCTGTGACTCAGACGCCGAGACGAGAAATACCGGGTTCCTCATAGCTGCAAGCACAGCTAGCTGAAGAATACCAAGAAACAAAAAGCCTAGGTTCATGAATTCCTGTGGGCTGACTGCCAACGTCTAATATCATTGAACTTGTTTTCCGTAACCCTGTCACTGAAATCCAGTGGATACTTCAAACTTTTGTTTAAAAAAATGTTAAAACACTTGCATAAACAATCACAAAGCAGCATTATTTCTTCGAAGATACTGAGTAACAAAATCATTGCTCATCATTATTATGAAAAATTATCTAAACTATGCTGTTATAGCTATAAGTGAGTGTAAGCCTACGGAATGTGGCACAAGAAAATCTTATTTAGTATGAATGAAAGTAGGAAAAGCGCAAAAAGTTGCTTACTTTTCACTTAGCAAAAGCCAAAGAATATCTTCGGATATGCATAATCTTAAATGATATCTCAGAGCAAGACCATCAATATAAATAGAAAGATATCAGTATATATTAGACGATGGCAATACTATTATTCCAGTCCTCTTTATAATTAACGACATTTAAATTATCTCTTCTAACAGCTTTTTGTGGATCGACATTACATTTCTAGGATCATACAATACATATTACAGTACCATTAAGTTTCAACAAGCTTCAGATAACACAAAAAATCTTTTTCTTCCCACGTTTACTAAGTTTTTGCTTCAATATTTATTTATGAAACTTAATAAAGACTCTTATGATGATTAGTTCTAGTTCATAAAATAATGGTTGTGATGACACATCTTATAGTTATTAGTTTCTGTTACATTATTATCCATAAATTTCACTTATTTTCAAAATTACTTTTCACTCGTCCAGGATATTTAAGGTAGTGAGTGATCTCACTATTTGCTCAATGCAAAATTTGTAGTAATTTAATATGAGGTTCACTTAATGAGTTTTTATGTTTACTTATGATTGTCTATTCAAGATTCAATGGATGTGTAAAGACTGCCTTCAAAGTCCCAACATTTCTGAGCGACAACAAATCCAATCTGGCTCCAATATACCTGATCATACAAATACAACTGTGAATAGTATTACTGGACGTTTGGGTGAAAGTATTGCTAGTTTTATCTCTAAGCCAAAAGCATCGGATACTAAAAGGTAAAGTGATATATTTACAAGTTATTATCTTTCCCTTTTATGTTAAAGTTACGAATAATGTTCCTTTATTGAATTCTTGATAATAGGCCAGCCAGTTTATAATAAATGCAGTTTCAAAACTCCTCAAGTATATATTCGGAGAGAAATGCTAAATTCATAAGCCGAAGTTGTCAACAAATACAGCTGATTCTTAGCAGACGGCTCCAGTGATATGAGAGTGGTATCACGTTTTATTTAAGCTTGCGAAGACTGACTGTCTTAAAGAAAGAGAGAGAGAAACAACAAATCCATCTAAACTCATAGAGAAAGAGGAGAAGGAACCATGAGATGCAATCATGACTCTAAGAATAAATAATCATCGACCGAACTTCATTCGTAGAATTTTGGACAGTATATAGAGTAACTGATTTAAATATCATAGAACTGTGAATTTCAGCAGCCATGGGACAGAGATCATACAGCTTTTGTGGCATAAGAAGAATGTTCCAGTGCTAATATACGAAAAACAGACTGAAGCAAACCTTATTATGCCAGAAAGACGATATCATTACAAATTTCCTGTGCAATTTACTTTTTGGTATAAAAGGAGTATATTATGAAGCTGTAGAGGATAGTAGAAAATTAAATGTAATTTTAGGCGAGTAAAAATAAACCTAAAGAGGTTTCATTTATCTAACTCAAAGACTTTAAAATTTCTAACCATAATTCAATATGTGGCATTCTGTTTGACCTAATCAATATGGTCTTAAAATTACTACAGTATCTCTTACTTAAATCCTGTCTCATGAAATCCAGTCGACGTTGTCTGTAAAGTATTCACTTACACTTTGCCAATGTGAACCAGAATGAAACAGACGCAACGAAAACAACACTCGCATATGAATAAGTAGTTGGGTATATTACCTAGAAACCGTTTCACAATCACATCAATTTAATGGTCTAAAATGAACCATGGAGGCGGGGGATTTTAAACTGAATTATATATATATATATATATATATATATATATATATATATATATATATATATATATATATATATATATATATATATATATATATATATATATATATATATATATATATGGTTTGACACTGCCGACTTATGTTTACCATCGCCTTGATAAAACTATCAACGATGAAGATCAAAACCGGAGATAAAATTAGTCTCCTCTTGAAAATATAAATCTTGTCAGTTGGAAATCCGTTAACATTTTGCGAAAGAAATCCTATGTATTGTTAGCTTGAATCTGTTCTGCGTAAAACGATCAGAGACTATGAATCATAACATCAAAAAACTGTGGCATCTATTGTCAGCTGCTCAAATTAAAATATTGCTAACTATTGTACTGGTTTCAGGATAACTTATTAGGTACAACATTTAGTGGTTCTTATTTTTCTTACCAGAAACGTTCTAGAATTAGTATCTCTAAGTCTAAGACTCAAACAGAATATTCACTTTATATTTTCGGATTTTCAGTGACCATCTAATTCATGTCTTACAGTGATATGAACTTTAATCAGTGTTATCCAGTTAGGTAATGGATAAAATTCCACTTTTATTCAGAACATCTATCTATCACAGTAAGTAAGATTAGATTTTAGATAGAAGAGGCTTTTCTCATGGAAATAATGATTTAGTACATAAGGCACAATCAGTATTCCATATAACTATATTACTCTTAAATCAAACATAATATATACTGCATTAAAAGCATCGTCAAAGTCGGTAGAGAAAGAATCATTCTAGAGAGCATAAAAATGAACAGTATAAAAAGGCATGAATTCTTATTTTAAAGTAATTTTATGCAAAGGTAGCGATAATAATAATGATAATGACAGATCACGCATCAAAAATACACAATTCTCATTCGTGTTCGCTGCAGGCTTTTTGAACACTGAAGTAATTGTAACGAACATGAAGAATACTTACTCACTGTTCATCACTTATATTTGCTAAACTTCCTAACTCATAATCATGCTTGAAGATCTCTTAACTAAAACCCTCATAAAGCCAAGCAGTTTTCCAGCTGGTGGTAATAACAGTACGGCTGAAAATATTTGTTAGAATTATTTACTTTACCCTGAAGAACATTAAGCATAGAAAATCAACCACCTTGCTTGGATAAGCTCTTCATTGTATTCTATAACAATAATTGTAACACTGCATTAGTTAGCAGTGGAGTTAAGAACGCCACTGCTTGTCTGCCTATTCAGACTGTGTGAAGTGATATTTTATAAATTTAAGTGAGACTATAGGTCATCTCATGGTACCTGTCTCTTGAATACCTCCCATAAAGCAATCTAATAGTGAGATCTGCTTACAAGAAGGATTTTTAAACGATGACCTACCCAATGAACCAGAAATATCTGTCTGTCTATCTACCTACTTATTAACTATGCATTAGGTTCAATTACATCATGGATATCGATCAAGTTATCTCCTTTCATGAGTAAGTCTATGAGACGCTCTTCTTATAGTTCTTCCCTCTATCAATTGATTAATGACCGATCGATCGGTTGCGGGCAAATGCTGAATGCTTGACTATGCTACCATATCGACACCCACGCATTACTCTTCTACTCAATAGGCCAAAGAATAGTATGTGTGGTTATTTCCTCATGTATGTCTAGGATCAGTGGAAATTAACTTAAAGCAAATGTCAAAAGTTGACATAGTTTGAAGGACATATGGCCTTTTGCCAAAATGTAATCGATAATGAGTACATTTAAAGGTATTCAGTGTATTTCATCCAGGTTAAATAGCGTTTATACCTTGCTTTAATTCACTGAAGAGGTTATGGACAAGCCACTGAACTGGTGCAAAAAATGCAGTTTTACTAGCAGTTAGCTAAAATTTATTCCTGATGAATAAATTTAATACACAGAGATGACTGATGATTCAAACCGGCGGCTTCTGAATTACAGGTTCTGTCCTGAATTGACTGAGTTGGAGGATACAGTCGCTGACTAGGTCTTCTCTTTATTCAATAAGGGTTTTGTCTGGTTGGGAATGTGTGACGTAACTATGTTACGTAGTTGTTACGTAGTTGAATATGTAGAGAACTGGTCTAAGTTGAAAGTCATGAGCTTTGGGATATATATAGTTGTTGTTGATCGGGCATCTTCATCACCTCTACCGCTGTCTTCTCAACGTTCACCTGAAGGAAGTCCTGTCTTTGCTGCCTCTTCTGTCAACTTGTTGGTGTTCGCCTGTAGATCTTCGAGTTTGTGCGATATTTGACATAAATCATCGGCGAAATCCAAATCTTCTAGGATCTTTTCATCGGTCCAGCCAGTGTATGCCCATCTTCTAGCTTCTCACAGGTGTCTGCATTATTTGTAGGTGCATAGAGTAGCATTGTATGATTGTGACTTTCCTTCCTTTTGAGCTGAATCTTGCTGTCATGATCGTTGTGTAGATTGGTTTCCACTGCATGAGAGCTTCCAATGTTCCTGGAGACATCATGACAGCCACTTCAAAACTCAGTGTGCTTGTGGTCGTTGTCTGGGTAACAATATCGTAGTAGATTATTGACTCTCCTCTCTAGTTGACAGTTGGGACAGCCTACTTCCATTCCATCTGCTTTCACAGATTCCCAGCCTGGTACTTCTATGCCATACCTCCTCATCTCTCTTGCAATCTGAGCAGCTTTGCTGGCTTCTGGGAGCGATAATAGTATGCAACTTGAAACCACCTTCTTGAGTACAAAAGAAATTCATTCTTACACTACACTTACCTTTTTAAACTTTATTTTCTAACCAAGATCGGGATCAAATATATCATTAGTAAATTTGATGTATCATTCTTCCTTTTCTACCTTTTCATAATTTTAATTTTCTATCGTCATAGTTCTGCTGCTTGGCCTTTCATTATTCGGTTTGATATAAATTGACTTAGTTATGTGATCAGACTGTTCGAAATGTATTGCACGAACACATCACACTGTTCGCATAAACTTCTTCTTCTAATTACATCATCCAAACTCTACTAATAAATAAGTGGTTCTCTATAGAAGTTTCAACAGTTGCTAAGACAGGCTTTACCAATATCGGGATAAGAAAATACAAATGATGAATTATTCTGTGACCTCGGTCATAAGAAATGGCAAGTCTTTTTGTTTGGCATCTTCCTGAGTCAACTAAAAGGTAACAGTGTCTTGTCTCATGTCTTGTTATTAATGCTGTAAACAACAGATGGATAGCAGTCTGAGGAAACTTGAGTGCTGATCGAGTTGTGAGGGTGGTTGACACTTCCCAAATGCCCACACCGTGGAAGGTTAATTCTTCTTAAGGTACCTGAAAGAGATTTGTGTGACCGCAGAGCCCATCGGACATCTGCTTGAGGCCTGTCACATGTAGCCTTTTGAGTATGATTATTTTGAACTTTTGAATTTTTGGGGCCGGATAGTCGAAAGGAAACGACAAATGAACCAACATCACCGGCCCGGCAGACCGTCGGGCATGGTAGTGTACTGTTTTTGGGGCCCGACCCTATCTAACCCCCCTTCCACTGAGAAGGCAGCATCAGCATGGCACTGGTGGTCATCACCTTACGTCTGTCACACCCCACCCAGCTGGCAGCACAACGACTTCGCCCTCAGACCCTCATCATAGTGTAGCAATTTACACCTCAACGGTAACTGCTTTTCATCTTACCACTATCCAGCAGACCTTTCTGATATCGTTGGACCTCGAGGAGACAAGCGTTCCACCAGCATAGCTCGTTGGGTCATTGCGATATGCAAACCCGATCACCACGTCAAGGTAGCAGCTATCGGTTGGGTAAACAATAGCTTGGGTTAGGAAAATGATACTACTGAACAGAAACTTTGACTGGTTGACAAATAGTTGCAACTACTGCATACTGACTGATAGTGGACTTTATCACTTTTATCCCAATTTTAGGATTTTTTTTCTCGTTTCTTCGTTAACCAAATAGTCGAAATTCTTATGTTGAACTAATTTCCGTTTGTTACTAGTATCACCTTGAGGGTAAACATAAGGAGAATAAAATGAACAAGATATGCAGCCTTTGACTGTAGTACTGACTTATACCACTAAAAAGCGAATTTCAAAGCACATAGTATTGACCAACGGAAAAATGAAACGAACTCTCATTTCACCTTCATAATAACTTTATGAAAAAGTTATGCGAACTCAGGTTAGGATTTGTGAGGAGTGGATCATTTGAAGGAATGAAATTTCCTTCCGGTGAGTTTATATTTTATACTTGGGGTGGGGTGAATCAAGTCAGTTTCCTAAGATGGTAAACAACTTTATTATGCATGTCCAGAATTCTCTGTAGTTTATATTCATGGCTTCAAAGAGTACTGAGTTCAAGATACGCAACAGCCACTGAATTAGTCGACTGACTGCTATTTAATTATTCGCACTTTATGAATACAGTCAGTTCGCAGTTCAAGATAACAACCAGTTATTATAATCAGTGATGACCTGTCCTTTCTTGCAGCTCATTTGAACTAGTTGATTTCATTTGGAATATGTAGGTGCTGTATCGTAGCCCGTTTCCTTTTTGTACTAATATGTGGTCTAATCAGAGCTGACTGGTTTCAAATTGCTTTAGGAATAGATATATAATTTCTGGCCTTAAACCAGCATATAGTCAACAGTGCAAGTTACTTGTTGACTTCTGATTATGGAGCGTTCTCCAATTTGAACTATACTGGCGTTTCAGTAGTATGACTATCTCTTGTCAATGTTTGAGTGACTTCTTTCCAAAAAATCCGTTTTATTTAAGGTTATGCGTTTATTTAATACTTTGCTTGTTGCTTTGTGATCCTTCTATGTCATAAAAATAAATATGCTTAGGATGAGTCTAACAACTTAAATTTATTGACCATAGAGGTTACACTATGTAGTCGAAATCGAAGGTGCCAAATGATACTTTATTGAATGTCAAATGCAGTGAAAACAAATTCTTTAAAAGTAGGATGAGTTAAATTCAGAAACATATGTATGATATATAAATAAGTTTAATCTTTTCTAAGTAATGTTTCATCTAGTACAACTTTCGATAGCACTTTTATCTATAAAGTTTGTCAGTCACTTATATTTTGCAACAACTACAACTACCCTTTTCTTATGAGCACTAGATCTTTACTATGGAGCCTTAATCAGGGGGTTTGTTATCGATTGGCACTCAGCGGAAGCAACCCTTCGTTTCGACCGTCCGAATGCTTATTTAAGTCAGGTACCAACATTGGTAAACAGTTCCGTTAACATGAAAATACAATCAGGTGGATCAGGATTGTGAATTCACTTTATTCCTTCAAGTCTCATTTTAATCCAGAATAGGAACTTATTTTATAGGGTATTCACCGAAAGGGAATGATTTCGTTCATGTAAACTGAAAAGTGAGTATGGATTGCTCTAAATATTTACGTACGTCAAACTGAAGACTGTTAGTGGACAGAAAAACTAGGCATAAAAATTCCTATTGAACTCTACCAGCTATTTATCACTTGAGACAAATACATGTGCTGGTATTTATTAAGAAGCAGCCTTTCATTTTGGTTTGTAAACTCTTAAGTCACACCTCTCAGTGACTCAGTGTTGGCTTATACCACAAGACTTGATCCATGCCTAATGTATATGGGCTTATGATACCATACAGTTGAAAAAAGTAAAGTCAAAACATTTTCAGCTTGACTCCGACTGTTATAAATTTTAGCGCCTAAACCAGGGACCACACTTCCATGACTTCTATTAATAAAAACTGGACGTAGTACACAACATTTCGAATACTGAGGTGTGTTCAGGGGCACTGTCTTACAACAGTTTTCTCTTTAAGGATAATCAGTAAGTACCAGTATCTCCCAAAATCTTTTCGATACTAAGGTAAGAGTGATAAAGACAGTTCTAAAACTCTTCTTAGAAGGACTAAACTTCTGAAATGCTATAAACTTATCCCTATGAATAACATACTTTTATGTGAAAGTATTTTGATTCATCATATCACTAAGTCTAACAAAATAAAAACGCCAAAATAACTACTTAACTTATCAGAAACTAATTTCCTATTTCTAAAGTCTAGCTATCACTGATTCAATTCAATAAGAGCTTACAAGTGTGCAATACGCATTCCTCTGAAAACAAGTCCTTAAGTAGTTGTCAGGACTGATTACATATTTACTAAAAGTGCCCCATAAGCGGAAATTTTAATCGAATTTTTTCTGTTTATTATAAATATATTTGTGATGAATACTTACGCACAATCGGACATCATACTGGCATTGTGTGTAAACATTCGTTACAAATATATTTATGGTAAATTGATTATCTCCACAATATACAAGTTTTTGATGGATATTATTGTTCTGTTTACACCTATCTTATTAGGCAATTACCCCAAGCTAACACTACAAATCAGAATATGACGCATTCCTATGAAGCATCCAGTGGAAGTCGACTTCAAAATGCAGGCTCAGGACGTCAGCTTCCAAAACCTTATGCAGCAAACCGATCGAACAGTTTAGATGCAGACAATACAACCTATATAAGTCCGGATAATTTTTTATATTACGGTGATCAACAAAGACCGTAAGTTCATGTAGACTATGATATCTTAATACTTTTGAATTATACAAGGATAAGTGGTTTACGTATATCTACCTTGTAAATGTTGAACTTCGGAGCACCACTGCTTTAAACAAACTGTTTTCAACAATATTAGAAAATGAAAATTTCTATACACTATATTACATATCAAGTATAAGCTTTTATTAAACTAAACTAAAGCTGTTAGATTATCTGTTTAGTAAAAATGAATAATGATGAGACTGCAAAAGCACGTACCTAGAAATGTTTATCAGCTCCATCACAAATACTGCCTGCTTCTAAACTAAACGTTACACTTCTTTTCTACTGCAAATTAATAGTTCAAAAATCAGTAGCAATGTAATATTGGACTTACGCTTTTCATTAATTTGAAACATGTATATATCACATCACAGCATACACACAGTGGAACTACTAGATGAGGGGTATACATGTTTGGCGTACAGTACAAGACGAAAGACTTGGTTGGTTGAATTGTGCAAAATGCGTATCAGATTTACGACTGCCTTTGTGAGCTAGAGTAAGGTTAAGTCGGGAAGAAGCCGAGAATAGCCTAATCAAAATCAGTTGCAAGTCTATAAAGCCAAAAATGTTATTTTAAATTGCATAGATGAGGGTCAGAGGCTTATATAAATTTAAGGTGAAATTTATTCGAAATCTTTCACAGTAGCTTCGGTGTGTTTATGCTTTATCTTCAACCCTATAGTAATGTCATAGGAGCTTATTCACTTTATCTTCTGTTCTCTTTGCGTTGTAGTCTATACAACTTCTGATGTAACAATTTTGTTCAGTAATTTCTCCTTATAAAAAGTTTCTCCTTAAAGTGTTGAGTTCCAGAAGTACGTACTTCTCGTACATTCTTTGTGTGTATTCTTTATCTTTCATTTGTGTATTCCAGTGAATAATGAAATTAATGAAAATACTTATAGTGTGGTTTTAACTAATCAAACACATAGTTGAAATGGGTCACAATGTTGATTTGCATGCATCTTTCACATCCATTTATAAAACCTATTTGAGACACTTAAATTTTATACATTCGAAAGCAACATCATAGGGGATTTTTAAATCGCTTTTATTTTCTCATCTGTCACTTGACTTCTAAACCAACAACCTGACCTTTTATGATTATGTCGAACGTTTTTTGAACCTATATATCCTTTGTTATCTTTTATTCTGAGTTTACAGGACAAGGGATTGTATGAGTAGACTGTTTAAAGTGTATTGCACCGAAATATATAGTTTCAGATAAACCACTTTTATCGCAGTACTCTGGCTAATGACATTTTTCATCCCTCCTTCCTGATAATATTTGTTATTAGTTTTATGCCCGTAAAATACATCATGAAAATGTCCTCTAACTTCTAAATTATATGTGTATGCAATAATGTATTGAAGTGATTCATTGAAAATGAACTTCTTCAAGAATATAAATGCATATGCAACACAGAAAGAAAGGGAAGAAAAAGTTGAGTTCAACGATAACTCAATTTTAAAGAAAAGAAATCGATTCCGGAATAAAAGTACAAATGCGGGACAAATAAAGGTCATAATTGGTTTCGGTATTGTTTTTGTCAGGAAAAAGGAATGAAATAATAATCATGATGATAAAAATAAGATTTATTGTTTTTCCTGAGATTTTTATGTTTTTATGCAGCTTGTCTTTGAAAAACTTAGAGTTAGAAACTGTTATACCTACTTCGAATTTCCTAGATTCCAGTCAGTGTAATAAGCTTATATTTTTCGTGTGATTGATGCTTTTGAAAAATTTATGAAAAGGAATATAATACTATGTCTATATCTGTCTGTGTTTATGTCATCATGGATACAGCTGTCACTTGATGGTCTCGCACCTGACCATCGACTGTTTGACTGTGTAAGGATGGCCGACTGTGTCAGAGATTGTTTACTTCAAACTGTATAAGCAGTATGAATAGTTAACTTGCATCAGGTGAAGTTCGTTCCTGAGTGTATTAACATGTACATGGTGGTTAAACTACATGGCAATAGTTAATATCCCCAAATGAGATGACTTATGCACCAATAAGCACCTAAAAGCTGTTTCTTTCTAGTTTAGTACTCCATATGTGTGTACAGTAGAAAAGATTAAGCAACTAAACATCAAGAGATTGCTTTGTAACTCCAGAATAAGTTCCAGTCAAAATGTTTAATGAACTTCTGCTGTTTTCAGCTGGCTGTTAAATAAGTGTGTATAGTTGACCTGTGTCAAGTTACCACTGACAGAATAATAACATTATCTTAGCTTGACCTGTTCTCCACTCATTGTCAGTTAATAATGAAAAGCAACACCGTTTTACACAGATTGACTAATTTACCCAAGTTTGTTAAGGTCTCTTCATCGATAAAAGATTTTTCATGTACTTGTGTCCCACCCGAACAGTCTACCAACCATTAAAGCTATATACTGTATTTTGCAAGCATCAATAATAAACCAAGTAAAAAAACGATATACATACGATTATCATTCAACTAGTAACTTGTAATGAACTACATGGATAGAGCGGAGAGTTGTCTCATAACTTCATGAACAGCTAACATACGTTTTTTGCCCAGTAAGTCGACATTACTTAGTATTTATCAATATATGTATATATGTACGTATAAATAAGGTTGTATATAAATACGCTTTGTGCACTTTATAAGTATATTTATTCAAAATTTGCAAGCCATGAATTAAGGGTCTGTATACATTGGGTGGTCACTGGATCGTACTTAACACCTTGTGATCCATTCATGAATGTGGACAGAATTCTTCTGACCGCTTTTACATTATTGTCATGAGCTAAAAAACTAGCCATCTAGACGCACTTTAAATGGTTATAGGTTTCTCTAGGCAATCGATAAGTAGTTCTGCACCTAAGTTTCTTGTTACTCTTCAACGATCAGTGTATCCAATACAGTTCTGTAGGAGCTTAAACATGATATAAATAGATCATTGGTAATACTTCTGTATGCAGCACTAACTGAAACAGCTTGAACATCTGAGTACACAGGATCCCTCAACGTTGCAGGTTCGCATTTCTAATGGATGCAAACAAGAAGTCTGAGTACAGAACTTCTTGTCGTATGCTTTCCAACACTTAATATTTAGAGTCAATATGAGCGAAAAACCTTCTTTTTCAGAAATATTATTCATTCTCAGTGGTTATCAAATAAATCAGACCAATATTTTGGTAAGCACACCTTTTGAGGGATATAAAATCGCTGTTGTAAACTCTGAAATTTTAAATTTACCACTGTACATCAAATGAGATGGTGAATTGAATTTGATATCAAACGAACGTTAAATGATCATGACAAATATTAAAATTGTAAAGGAAGAGGAAATATTTCAGTTTGAGGTTACAGAGTATTTTTTCATCAGCAGTCAATATGATACAGAAACTAATAGAAGGAGGCGAAAGACAACAGAAGTGGGGTGTACTATTACTCGCAAGAAGGTCGACGTATACAGTGGTTGAAATGGTTGCATACTAAGAGTACTGATAATAGTAAATAATAGTGATTGTTAGAGGACAGTCATCAGCATTAGTTAGTTCAGTGATGCAACAACAGTAATAACCACGAAAGTAGGAATTTTTAGGGCTCTTAGCCGAAGAGAGAAAACGAAATAAATAAGCCAAATTAATCAGTTAGTCACCATTAGAATTGAATAAAATGTCCTGTCTTTACCTATTTAATTGAAGGTGAAGTATAAAGTCACATTATTCAATAAGAGATTAGTCCTCAAACTCTTGAAGCAACCGTTTTATTTTTACTCTAGTAACTATGAAGTTATCCAAACATATTATTTTATTCTAGGTATAATGATACATTTGTAAAATACGATCAGACTCCTGGTGAGTATGGTCATAACAGATCCAGACGGATATCCGGTGATTATTACCCTTCAAATGAATTCAGTGCTTACCGAGAAGTACAAAAACGATATCCAGTCGATCCAAGGTTGTCAAATAATCCATATCTTGATCCATTATACGCAGGCGATTCATTCCCTTCAGATCCCTCAGATTCTCCATGTCAAAGTGGTGGCAGTGTCAAACAGTCTTTACCATACAGTAAAGCTTCAGCACGTGATTACTCAAGATATCGTGAAATGAGATACAGAAGTGATCAGCACTTTGATTCTCAGTCACCATATTTAACACCGAATTATCCATCTAGTTCGTTTGGTTGTAAGTTATTTGTCAATGTCATTATTATTACTAACATTTGCTTTTATTCACTCTGTATTGTTGACAACTATGCGTATTCACTGAAAAAAGGTGAATACCAGCAATCTACTCATATTTAAGTCTTAACACTGCCCCCTTAGATTAATTATGACTCATTCTTGTGCTTGTAACCCTTGTCGATGACAGAAATTTGATATTTTTAATGAATCTAAGGGCATCTTTAACATAAATTGGAGTTAATGCAATAAGATATAAAACTGTGGAACCTTTCGCAGCCTGTTTGTTTGCGTAACTGAATGACGTGGACCAGTCAGTGGATGGGAATCAGTTTCATACTGTTTAGTCTAAGGGGTGACAGAGTTCTATGGATCCTCTTTGTTATGTGGTCACCGGGAAGGAGGCTAACTCTTACAGTGCACTTTGATTGGTGTTAGTAGTTTGAGAAAGTTAACAGAAGCCCATGAACCTAGGCTTTTTACTTTTTGTTTCTGACACCTCTCAGAAGTTATCAGTTTTCTTGAGGCTTCGAGTTTACCACGCCGATGGGTGCCAAAAAATAGGCTTAGGATTTCTTATCGATTGCCTCCGAGCAATTAACGGATAGTCAATCTGTTTACAGAAGCCTTACATTTCATGGTTCCAGGAAATGAAGGTTTCTGGTATAACTGATAGCTGAGAGCATGTAATAAAAGAACACTTAGGTATCCACTTGAACACCAATATGTCTTGACTAACATATAAACCCAATTTCTTAAACCATTACATCCACATTTTTGCTTAAAATATTTAAGTCATTATGGAAGTGCAAACTGATAGCTCGTGTTTCGTCTTGTTTGTAACCAAGCCTCAAGATTAGTTATTATCTTTATTAGTATCTTTTTAGTAATAGTGATAATACTCCCTTTATTCCAAACAATATGTATGATACAGTATGGAATTCTCAGCAGGTAGTTTTTCAGTAGTCACTCCCAGAATAATATTTTCAGACGAAATGGTTATTGTATCTGACTGATGTTAATATTAACAGTATTCTTGATTAAAATAACTCTAGTGCTTAGGAATAAAATCCAGGAAATGTGTTTCGTTACTAATACATCCGGATACATGTGCATATCCAACTATCAAACTTTAAGTATGGCGAAACGCACCTTTTGAATTCACAGGGTAAAACTGTTGAGTATAACCAAGATGTTATAGAAAACACTCTCCATATATTTGTGCAAAAAGGCATATTTTAGAGGAAGCTGGTTGCTGAATTCAATTTAGTTCAGCAGTGGGATGACCATTCATACTGCTAACCTGATAGTGATTTACTGTAGTTTGATTTGACTTCAACATGCGCATCAGCCGCAGATTGTAATCCTCAACATGCGCATATATAAGCTGTCATATTTAGCAGTTATTCTCATATATTTACCTTGAAATTCACCACTTTATGTTCTACTTACTGTTTAAATGAAAATAGACCATTGAAGTCTATTTATCCACATTCACAATTCACTTATGAGTTAAAAGTGCCACATAACATAAGATCCTGCTGATATAAGAGTAAAACTTTTGCACTGGTGGAATGTTATCCCATTTTGATTGATTTGTTAGATTTAGCATACAGTGGAGCAGTTTTGTTCACCTGATTATATTTCGGATGTAATTATTGTCCATCTTAAAATATCAAGATAACTACACAACTGTGAGATACCTTTATGTAGTCCTAATTTTTTCTCCCCTTTTTGACATGGGTAGTATGATTTTCCATATTACCGGAACAGGTGCCGGGTCATTCCTGTTGTATGTATTAGGTGTTGACTAGATGAACAAAGATTCAGTCATCAACCTCTTCCTCCATCCTGTTATGTTAGTTTTAAGGATTTTCACCCTGTCCCATCCTATTGTGTGGTGGTGTGTAATCACACACATAGCTATAGCTGAGCCTTTTTCGAAATTCCTTACCTTACTAGGATCTACCAATTTTCATCTAGCTAGGTTTTTGTGTTCGGATAGCCTAATTGACCTTGGTCGACTACTCTGACCTATGTATTTGACCTTGCAATCGTTGCAAGGGATTCGGTAAACTAAGTTATTCCGCTTAATTGGATCAATAGGATCTTTTAACCTACAGAGCTTGCTTCGAAGTGAGTTTGTAGGTTCGAATCTCACTCTAAATCTGGCCTTCTTAAGAAACCTACATAATGCTTATGACGCTCCTCCTTTGAATGGTTATACTACAAGGTTTTGAATTCTGTCTTCACAATATTGCCAATACTATTATTAACATTATTATCACTACTATTGTTACATTTATTATTACCACTACTGTACCTGAGTTACTGATATTTTTCTTACTACCCTTAACGAACTTACCAATTAGTTTGGGAGGGTAGTTGTTGATGAGTAAGGTATCTTATCAAAAAACCGATTGATTCATAAAAATTGAAATATTCTTCTGATTTTTAATTTACGACAAGTTAGCTAATTAGGAAGACAAACATTTTATAAAGTTCGACTGTTTCAACTTTCTAAAATATTTAGTTCAAAGACGCAATGTTCCAAACTGGGAAAATTACCGTTATGGTGCTATACCACCAAGATATCGTGATCAACTTCGTCATCATCAATTACATCACTTGTCATTTAGCAGTTCCGATGGAGAAGATTTCAGTGTTGTTGACGATGGTTCAGTTCCTTATCAAGAACCAAGACGAAGGTTATTACCAACTAATTTTGAAAAAAGAAACTCACCTTATTCTCAAGGAACTGTTACGGATGATGATGATCCTGCAAGTCAATTTTATATTTCAAAACGTTCATCAACTCCATACTATGATGGACAATTAAAACCATATGCATGGGATCAAGATAGAGCATTATCTTTGTGTGATGAACCTCCAAAATATATATGCGATTATGAAGCACAATCGGAGCACCATCGACGACTTCCTGAGAACAGGACTTCAGTATCTCAGAAAGGTAATGCTTAACTCTTTGAACAATGTTAATAACAAAATGTTTGGTAAATATGGATTCTATTTCCAATGCACTATTTGAATATAATTAATTAGTTCAATATCAATAGGAATGAAATGTCAAGATCCAGTAGATTAGAATCTTATAGTGTTTAGTTATTTTATTTTTAGGAATTTCAGCAACTCGCAATATACTGTCTCCATCTGAAATGCGAATTGGACTAGTAATTTTCCACTCCACACGGCACATGGAATAATGCAATCAAAAGTATCCTAGATTCGTAATGACTTACAAACTGGATGTTATTGCGTACTTGAAACTAAGTGAGATGAACTGCTTTCATTTGAAGTAGTATAGCGAGTACGTCTTGATCATAATAAGAATAACCATTCATTTTTGGATGTCTTCTGCAAATCTGTATAGCAATCTACTCGGCCTAGATTTCTTACTTGTTGATTCTCATCACTAATATGAATTCACAAACTCAGGTCGCTTCAAACAATAAAGTCTACATCACTCATTATTGAAGTCAGGGACTCTATCAATAAGTTACTCAAGCGACGAGCGTTCCAATATAGGGCTGAAGTGTGTCGATAGACTATTCATCAGTTGGCTGGTATTCAGGATAAGAGTCTATCAATCAAATCTATCATGGAAGTACTAAGTTGAACGAGACAGGCTTGATCTGCACTGTGTCCAGACTTCATTTCCAGGCTATTCAGTAAATAGCTTACTTAAACAAATGTAAAGTGAATACATTCTAGCTCCTCTACAACCTAAAAATGTTTTCATTCCTCTCATTTCAATCTCAGCATTGACATTTTTGACCGAACAAACCTTTAATTAACAGTAACATACTTCGGATATTTCTACCTAATAGGATGGTCATAATGTTTTTTTAAATGCAGAACGACTGAATAAAGATATTTGTAAGTCTGATGGAAAATGATGAATTCCTTGTGAATACTGCTGGTAAATAAATACTTTCAGACTCAGCTGATGTGGTATTCATCAAATACAAAGCGCTCTAAATAACATGATATGACTGATCTTAGACGAGCATCGGATGAGGAGGCAAAACAAGAATTACACAACACACAATCTAATCCCGCTTTTTGCACTACACAAGATTTCTCATTGATGTAATACCAACCATCTAACGGTCAATAAACCCAACGAAATATTTCTTCGGAGACATAAAGTTATTGCAGGACAGAGAGAACAAACAAAAACGTGGGACATTCATACCAGAGTCAATATAAAATGGGTCCACACGACACTTTCTTACATTGAAAACAGAGTACTGGTCATCTAACCATTAGGCTGCATAAACAGATAGCTAATACTAACCTAGTTTTCGAATCAATCAAATGGAAAAATGAAGGACACTATAAAAATTCCATTAATTGTTCTGGTTTACAGTTATTAAATACAGATGAATCAATGATAAAAATGAAATATTATTACAACATGGTAATTACGATAAACTACTTTATGATTTAACAGACTGGACTAAAAAAAATTTCTCTTAAACCTAGTGTTGACAATAAAACAGACTGAAAAACTTGTGAACGGTTAAAAAAGATTTCAAGAGGGTTTTAACTAAAGAGTTAGTTCTTATTAGTTCTTGCAAGATAAGATATCTTACCATTACGGCAAAATGAAACATTTGTGTGAGATCGATACCTAAATATAAGGTCCGTTAGCTAAGACAGTTAGGTAGTTAGATGGGCAGATAAAACAGAACGGAACCCTGTATAAAAGTAAACTAATTCAAGCCATAGCATTCAGTATGAACACAGGAAGAATCATTCAACAGTAAAGTTAAGATGTTTTTTGACCTCATTTATTTCTTAATAGATATTCAATATAATCATGAAGATGGAACAATTGTCACGAAAAGAAAACTACCTAAAAGTTCATCTGTAAGTTACTGTTACTATTCTTATGCTACTTGCTACTATTTTTCTTCAGTTAATAAGCTACAAGAAGAAAGATGTATCATTAAATTGAGTGAATAATCACCAATTCAAAAGAACTTTGAAAGTTCAGTAGGATTTTGTATTAAAAAAGATATTCATCCTTCCGCTTTGGTTTTTAACGGAAGTTTTGACCTTCCATACTTTCAACAATGGCTGTAAAGCCTTTACCCATTTGATTTTCTCACCTCTAGCAATTTTAAAACAAAGAATATTTGAAATCTTTAGGAAATTTATACTTGTGCTGAAAAATTAGCGCATATCAATGTTAACGAGGCGAGGTAGTTACTATTTTCAACTGAAATGTCAAGTAATGCTACTACCTACTATGTAATTAAATTGTCCTAGCAAGTTGCATTAAAAACAACACATAACGTTTATTCTTGTTACTCAGTGACTTTCATGATCAACAAACTTTATTGAACTTTCGACGTGTAAAGACGGTACACAGTCTTCAAATATATACACTTTGTGTTAATGGAAAAAAGTTACTTACATGATAAATGTGTCATAAAAAGTGAAGTATCTCAATTACTTTAAAAGATTCAGGATATTTTGCATAAAAAACGTATTGGCAATTTCTGGACCTTATTATATTTCTGCTTTCTGTTATTCTCAAATTCGATAACTTGGTATCTAGAGTTAAATAAAGTCATTTGGCTAATGGAATTTGAAAAGAAATACATAATACATATTTTAATGAAAACCTTGCACTGATTTTACTTGGTGACTTCAACTACACACAAGTTGTCGAAAGTAAAGAACTATAGAAAAAACTGAATTCTGACCTAGTTCATTTTGGATACAGGTTGCTTAATGCCTTCGTATGTTTTATCTAACTTAACTGATAGCAAAGAAATTCCAGAGTTTGCCTCTTATGTACTATGTTGCTGAAATAATGTAAGTATGGAATTTTAGCACTGCGGCAGAATGCAATTCCGTATTACATTAGTCTATCTGATATTGTATTGTTTGCTAGACAACATTCTGAGCATAATTCGTTAGTCATAGTCGTATCACGGTGATCAAACTAACTTCCTGGTCTAATTTTATGTTTCATTTGTTTATCACCGCTTGATATTATAGGCAGTAAACGTTTCAAAACATTCGGAATTAATGTTATGTTGTTGAAACCCTTATATTATCTCTCAGCATACTCATTTTAATGGTCTAATTTACATACCTGTATATATATATATATATATATATATATATATATATGCTGTTATGTTATATTATACTTCTCGTAAAGTAATAGCAATGTTGACAATTACTTCTTCTACCACCGAGTTAACCACAGCAACATAAGTTACTGTTTGACCCATGAAAATAGGTAAGGTAGGTGAAAAAAATTATTACATATATCTTCGAACACTCAAGTAAAGAAAAATATTCTCTTGTAACATTAACATAGTTGTTTCCAGCTTTCGTAACAATTTCTGGCATCAGTTACTAAGTCACCAAAAATTTGTTTTTTCGATAACTACTGCTTTATCTACTTATGAGTAGACCTACGATTTTTCCTAAATTTATATTGTCTCACTTTTTTTATCATGCTTTTTGGAGTGAAACGTGTAAACTTTCGAAGACACACGGAAATATATTTCTTTCAGTTGGATAATGAGTATGACAATCAACTCAAACATGATGACAATTGAATTTTCTTCGTTTCTGGTTTCTTTTGTATTCTATATGCAGACCTTTGTTATTCGTTTCCATATATATATATATATATATATATATATATATATATATATATATATATATATATATATATATATATATAATGAAAGTGAGAGCAGTTCAGATCACTTCCCATAACCTCAAGCGAAATAGGCAAGTCCTGATAGAAGGAACTTGTTCAGCAGGTGTTTCTTTACTTTTTTTAGTTGTTGGTTTACTGGACTGAGGTTATTCGTCTCCGTTGGCCCGTCGAATAGCTGCATAATGCCTGTAATTAATGATATCCATTCTTTAACGATTCTTTAACTCCCATCTGTGTATCAAGTAATGAATGCTGAGATCACACACTTTCTTTGAACACAGCTATAGTTGTGACCATTCTTATCCAATGATTGACACTTTCACACTTAATTAATACAACAGAGCAAATACAATCTCCTGTCATCAGGATCAATCAAATCTCACCTTCAATTTGATGAACTTCAGAGATAACTGTTCTTCACGGGAACTCCTCAAAAATCATACTATGAGCCACTGTCATTAAAGTAAGAATCAGTAGCATGTGTTAGATCTTCATCAAGGGTTGGAAGACTAAATTAGTTATTGTTCATCAACTTTTGAGTTAACTTTGCGTTTGAGAATTAAAATTTTAGTGCTAGTAGTATTTAATCAATATAAGAGTTAAGTTAATTCAATTTATCTTATAAATATCAACCTTCCTAACTTTTTTAATCTTCAGTCTCAACCAGTGACATGGAATTTATCAGAAGATGGTCGCATTTAATCGGTCACATGATTCTTCGGAAAAAAACTGATCCACACTTTGGCGAACCTGGATCCGTATTAGGTATGCAAAATAAGCAGCTGATTCTTAAATGATAACAATTATACAGTACTACTTTTACGATCATACAGTCTCCTTTTTTCTGTGTGTGCATATATGTACATTACTCAAGTACTTAGGAATATATCGATATAAGGTCCAGTCGTCCACGTGCCAAGGAAAGTCGGTCATCGACATTGATAAATATGACCTCATGATCATTCAACTTGATTCCTAGACAAGCCTTCATAGCTTTTTACTTTTTCTAGTCATTTCACACTTCTTTCAAAATTAGTAGTAAAGTGTTAACACAATCAGTTCTATAGAGATACTACAGGCAATCACTTGTAAAATTGACATAAGTGAAATGCTATTGAGCTACCGTCTACACATAAACAGTTAACTGTTATTATTGTTCAAAACGAGATCATGCAAAGTGGTAAAGATAGTGCACATTTTTGTTTCAAATAGACTCAGAGCATTGGTCTCCACTCATTACTCAATAATTCACAATGATATGACATACTTGGATGAAGAAAAAACAACGTTTGATGCAGAATAATATAGTATTACTTTCTTCCTTTAATTCCTCTTCAACCTTTTAAAACCCGAAGCAGATCACTTTTACCTAATAAAATGAAATGAACATACCTTTTCAGCGAGAAAAAACCATTCGTCAAGGGGAGTTACGGTGCGGTAAAAAATGTGGGTATCCAGGAGGAGCCATCAAATTATGTTGACAGGTTTCGGTTTCATGCCTTATTCAACAGAATGCTAAAAAATATAATACGGATGGCATAAAAGTGTTTTTATGTTTCGAAGAAAGTGTCATATGAAGACATTGATTGTTCAGTGGATTTATGATGATTTGTGAAAATAGGGAGTTAAAAAATAAACATTTCGCATAAGTCGAAGACAGAAAATGTTTCATTCGTAAGATTTCTTCAAATGAGGAGAAGGATTAAAACTTTATGTTATCAAGACAAAGAAGGACTGATAGCTGCTTCTTTCTGAATGGATAATTCTGGCTCTAAACGTATGGTAGCTATTATCTCAGGAATCTTTAAAATATGTGAGTTGTTTCGTTTGTTGAGTACCTTGAAGAACTTCGATTCATCTACTTCATGTCCTGCGTCAACAAGATGTCATGTGATTTTACTGTCGAAGGCATATTTTTCCATCAAGTGTATACGATATATAACAAACTTGTAGTCGCGTTGACATCATGGAATCAGTAACCTATTTTTTCTAAAGACTGAGTGAAACCTTTCTCAGTATCATAGTGATTGTGAATTTTGGTAACAGTTCCTAAAAGTGAACCTAAAACTAAAACTTGCACTTTCATATACCGCAACTAATCAACTATGACTATGTTACGGTCAACTGCAGTTTTTATTTATACGTTAATGCACACAACTAGGTATTTATAGTTTGGCTATGTATGAAGGCCTGTACTACGACATAATCTCATTTTTCAGGCAACAAATCGCTATCTCTTATATCCTGCATCAACATTTCTTTGGTATTTTGTAAACTTGAGTGGTTTGCATTGAGTGCAATGTGTTTCAATTTATAGATTTAAGGAGTAGACTCCCTGACAAAACCCACTGTTGCAATACAGTTACACTTATGTTTCTTCTCTTGAGTTGTTAAAGTTGATTTTTTTAACTTTTATTTATCTTCCATACTTTAAATCAGGTCTTAAATTGGCTGGTGGTCGGCTTGATCGCGCTGGACGCCTATGTGCATTTGTCACTCAAATTAAGCCAGGTACTCCAGCAGATATTGTTGGACAACTAAGGCCCGGAGACGAGATCCTAGAATGGAATGGACAGTCACTTCGTGGTCTAAGTGCTGACGAAGTCTCACAAATCATATATCAATCAAAAGATGAAATACAAGTGGAATTAATCGCTCAAAGGGAATTAAGGTAAGACTGAACAATGTTAAAAGTTATAACTTTGTAAGTGTATCATAGATTTAGTGAATAAATCAGCTTATCCAAAATAATAGTGATATTACTGCATAAAACTTTCCACTGTAGAAGCTTTTGCCACAAAATAGTCATAACTAAGTAGCCCAAAAATAAAAATCACTCAAAGTTGTAGATATATGTAGTTCAGAAGGTGGATTTTGATCATAAAACATTCAGTGATAAACTAGTCTTTATAAGAGGTCGAAATTCACAAGAACTAAATTGAAGATGCGTGGATGGTTAGCACAAAAATGTCACTCAAAGCTTTGTTATGAACAACCTCAACTCAAAATAATCCTTCCTGCCAAACAGTGAATTTCATATATTTGTGTTCTGGATATCTTGTCTACCACAAAATTCCCAGAAATTTCATTCAGGTCATCCTCATCCAAGAATCCAAGCTCTATACATATACGTGATTTACATGCGAGTGCATGCTGTCATGGAACTAACCGGGAGTGAAATTGCTTGAACAGTGCTGTTCTTTGAAATGGATCATTTAGAAGTAACTGCCATAAATAAGTCAAACTATCTAGTCTTGTTGCAGCTAGCAAGCCTTAATGATTGATATGAAGGGTTAACAGTTACCTTATAATAATCATCACATGACTTCAGTATACTCCTTCGAACTGACTTTCCTTTTTGTACTTCGAAGTTACTGTAGTGACAACCCCTATAACTTATCTGGATGTTCTTTATCGTTTGTACATATCCGTACCAAAATATATATCACTTTTGTGTTCAGGTCGAATATTTACATTTATTAACAAAGAATTTCTGAAGTTTTTCAGTAGCAAGAAGTTAAGTGCTTTAAAGCATTTTTCGACAAACAAAACTTGACATCAGTATTATAACTATCTGGGGACCTAACAACAACTACTGAAACTATATTACGAACTTGTACAGTCTAAAAGTCTTAATTACTTCAGCAATAGGTTTTAGTAATACGAGATAACATTTATAGCCATTTTTTTAAATGAACAGAAATAACTTCCTAATGCTTAGCAAATAAGTGAAGATAACTAGTCATGTAATCTTTCATCACTAAACCTAACTTTGATTTTTTCTTAACCTTTCTTTTCATTTGTGAAAAAATTCAGTCAAACTGAAAACAGTAAGTTTATGCATACCTAACTGCTACTTAAATGTTGTATTGTTATATTATAGTTCATTTCATGAAAAATGTAGATTGATATTAATGGTAATATAGTTTATACCAAACTTTTCATTTTTAGAAATAACTATTGTCAGTCCGTATTCTCGGGTTTTAGGCACTTAGACAGTGAGACATAAAAGGCATATTCAACGTCGGGAGAAATATTGTCTATACAGCATTTTTCTTCATGGCAATGAGTTTTACTATATTACTCAAACTGACTGCATCATCTACAGTTACCCTTGTGTCGTGTGTATTGTTGATTTTTCGTTTCAGATCATAGATTAGACACTAGAAAATATGGGAATCATATTTAGTATTCATCTGAATGCCACCATATTGCGTTACAACGCTAACTTGGCTATATCTTTCACAAAGTAGTTGTCATTCTTTGAAATGTATTTACACCTACGACTTAGGCTTTTCCCAAAAATTACAATTATTTGTCATTGAAAAGTGTTTAGATGTGGTTGTGTGGGCCAGGTGTTCGTTTGACAAACGTTTCGCTGTCATACTAGACACTATAAACAGTACACTACAGCTCCAAAGGGAAGTGAAGTGACTGGCTGTCCGTAGGTTTTTATGAAGTCTACTTCATCTGAGTACAACTTGATTTTCCGCTTGTCGATCAAGGAGGCGTGTTGGAACTGACTGGTCGATATTTTTCTGCTAGCTTTTTCAGACAAATATCCTATTACGTCACTTATTGACTTTTCTATTTCTGTCTAGTACATCAGGCTACTTCATTTTGATCACTTGGTCTTTTTGCTCAGATGAACAAATGAAGGTCGCTTCATATGATTGGTTGACATTTTTGTTTGGCTGAAATGCAAAAGGTTATCTTAATTTGGTTAGCTGACTGTTCTGTGCTAAGTAAGAGTACTCTACACTAATAGGCTGATTTGCTGCTGGTGAACTGGTGTTCTGAGCCATTGCTGATTGGTTAACTTTTACTGAATAGAGGTTCCTTTGTACTAACTTTACAAGCGCAGGCGTTTGCTTGGGAAAACGTGAATTATCTTGATCTGATTTATCGATCACGCTTGTTGTATCGAGGGTTTCTTTGCATTTTGATCCACTGATTCTTGCCAGTGATTCCATGTCATGCTTTTTATCCCTCTATAATGGTTAAGTTTCGTGAATGAAATCTGTGATCAAGCTGAAAGCTTGCCTAGATATTACGAACTTTATTTTGATGTTGGATACATCAAGACTATAGCCAGGAAACTAAATTAATGTCCCATTGGTATTCATCATCAATATTTATTTATGAACCAGAAAAAAATTGGTGCTTCTTCGTAGATCAAAATCTACGTTAAGAAGAGCTTTACCATTACTATCACCAACATCATATGATATTCATTTGTGTCTTCAAGATTATGACATCTCAACTGGTTCTGGATTCTCCTTGTTTATCGCTGATTACTGGCATATGAAACGAATTGTGCAGAATCCTGTGCCAATGCCTCCAAATATTTAAGACAGGAGACCTTAGATTTCATGATTGACAATACTGAAAAAGATGTTCTGAAAGATAGTCACTTAGACATTTGTTGATCTGTTTATAATTTAAATTCACAAACTTATTTGGATATTTTCGTGACTTTGCGAGATACAAGTACACAGACAATAGATTGTCACAACATTTAAAATACTTTTAGATGAATGAAGCATTTCTGTTACAATTCGGTTATTTACAAAAGCTTTCAGTCAACTGTTAAGACTGTGGATTGCATATTTCGATGCAGTAAAACTTTTTAGATGAAAGTTTATAACAGTTTGTGAGACACGCTTTCAGTTTTATCGAGGCATTCGATTTAATGATATGATTTCATAAGTACTCACAAAAATACACTAATCTCTGGAACTTAATCATACTACTGGTTTCATAGCATTAGTAATCTTGGAATGTTCGCTTTATGAACAATAAAACATGTGTTTTAAAAATACATAGTTCTTTTATTGCATTAAGTAAATTTCTTCGGTGCACTTATCATTAGCCGTTTTTGTGTACTATGGTTATAGCACCAACGGATGATGTTGTACTGATGGTCCCCAGTCCTTCTGAATGCTTTAGTCGAAATGGGATAGACAGTGAAGAACGGATTCCTAGATCCAGTTTACAGGTACGCTTGATTTTAAGATTTATATAGTAACCATTTGCCACAAATTTGTCTAATTTTGAATAAATTCAGCTTTATTGTATTTAAATTGTATTTATTACCTGACAAAATTGTTTAAAATGAGAGTAAAATTAAATCAGTCGTCCCATATGAAACCAACTTGTCATATTCCTTGATTGCGTATTGCAACGAATTCCTAAATAAATTGTTAAAACTAACTTCGAAGCACATGCGTAGCTTTGTAATATAATAAGAGAGTTTTACCCCAACCCTAAGTTCCAGACCGGATCTCTCTCGTGCAGATGTCAGTGTTCTCAAAACCTAAGGGATTGGTCTTCTCATCTGGCAGGAAACACCCATAGCAACGCAAGCATTGAAAATGAATACTCCTGCGAAAATACTCCGGCCTCTTTAAAAGTGACCAGTGAATCCCGAAATCCTCTCCAATATCAGGCTTCAACGCATCTGCATTCGCCAGATAACTAGACCACTTGATCATACTGATCTCACCGTGGCAGAAATGTGTGGAATACGTCTCACTGAGCCTTCAAAATCTTGTAGAAAACGATACAGCTTACCTTCTCGGAAGATTATCTTCCTCTCTCCAAAATTTCCGACACAGAGGCTGATCCCAGGACTTCAACGAAGCGATAATCATTCTGCACTGAATGCTACCCGCCTTCACAACACTGAGCACACCAACTCTCTTGAGACTGCTTCAACAACAGTGACTACCTGGATTGGGAAGATGGATTCCCTTACCTTTCAGCTGTACTACCCCCAGCGCAGTGGACGGAATCCTGACAGTCACCTGGTCCATCCATGCTTTGGAAATGCATATCAGTGATCAGCTCACATGAATCTCGTCAGCCGCTATTACCGATAGGTCAACTATTCGGGTACATTGGTTCAAATGCGGCGGGGCCATGAGAAAGCCCACCATCACTGCGTAACTAGGCTCGATCAGTAATCCCCGGTTTTCCTGGCCAGCAGCTAGAAAACCAATACCACTTAACAGTGTCGAGTACAACTTCTTCAAATTGACGCCCTGGCGTGTAACTTTGGCGAGGCATTTGAATATCCTGAGAAAGTCATACTTATTTCTGCTTTGCTATATAGTACTGCAAGTAATCACCCAATACTTCGTTTTTACGTGTATAAGGTTGGTATTTTCTGATGTCTGTTGAAGATATACTTTCGACAATTTGTTTTTGAATTTCAACTTTCCCAAAAGAAACATACAAAGAAGTTGTGCATTAGGTTTTCTTGTGAACCTTCCGCTTTCTAACGCAGAGTGTGAAAGGCCTTTGAAATGTCTTAACAAAATTATTGTGTCACTACATAACTTCCTTCACTGAAACATTCTTCTTCTGGATTACCTTTGACCTGTCATAAGTTTTTTTAACAATTTAGGTAAATATTTACACAAACGCATTTGACGTTTGTACAATTATCACTCGTGAAACTATAGCCAACACACATTATGCAGAGCCTTATCTTCCATCATTACAGATCTCAGGAGTAATGTTTAGGATACCTAGTGGAAATACCTGTTCAGCAATACTACGATCGCAAAATGCTGTTTTTATTGATGAAGTACACCTATAACTAAGAGTTAGGATGCATAAAATAAGTTGTTTTCTGAGGTAGGGTTTTGTTAGCAAACCTTCCAGTATTACTCTAAGCAACATCGTCACTCTTTTACCTTAAATTAAAACGATTTTGTATAAATATTTATAACACGCCATTTGATCTGAGCTCATCCTGAATAGTCCAAGAGCCTATTTAAATGGTAAACAATCAATAACTCGTACAGGTTTTTGCTCTCTGAAAAAATGGTTTCCACGAAGTCACGAGACGTCAGAAATTTTCTTTACCTCACTGGTATTTTAGAAATATATTTTATTAATAATTGATTGACCTGATGCTTAGCTTATTCTAATCTATTAGGTCAAACTCTGATGCTGAAGTCCCTAAGAGAAGCTTCTGTTTTGCCATTCTCTAAGAATTTTTTTCATCGAATTGTCAAATGTTGACACTAGTGTATTTTTGCCCTATTCCAGATGAAACTATTCTACGATGAAATCAAGCGTCAATTGATTGTAAACGTTTTAGCCGCTCAAAATTTATCAACTATTCATAGACCTTTCAGAGGTCCTTGTGCTTTTTATTGTCGTTTGTGCCTTCTCCCAGAACAAGAGTAAGTCAATTTCATTTGTGCAATAAATTTGTTTCGGATAATAAATTTCTGTGCACAATCATAAGGATTTGGCATCTTTTAAAGACCAACACCTTATGAGCGCTACTGGAAGCACAGATTCTTGTTAGAATATTAACATGCTTCAAACGTATGCCTTCCATCACTTGGAGCATAAATTTTTAACCGCTAATTCGGGAAAATTTTACAGTATAGGTAATTAATATTTGATAGAGAGCAGTGTCGTGTTCCGATTTTTTCATTGATAGAAATCTTCACACGTCAACCTAAGGGAAGTATCTAGTGTACTTTTACTAAACTTTAAAGCTTACATTCCATTCCATATTGAAAATGCATTCAAACAGAATAGATAGCAAGGAAAGTATCTTTATTTCTATGGTCACCAAAGACAAGCTTGTGGGGTGGTTCTTCAAATCTAGGAATTATCTCTAAGAAACAAAATAGACTTCATCTTAAGACTGCGAGCTTTTGCTGCATGAATAAAAAAAATAAACGAAGAACAAACAGAAATTTTAAATTTCAGACAATTTGCATAACAAAATGCTTATTTAATAAGAGACAATTGAAATAAATTAAGGCTATGCCAGTCAACCACATGAAAAAAAGCCCAACAATGCAAGTTAAGTCTTAGAAACTAGCTAAATGAAAATGCATGAATTATCAGGCGTTGAAAATGATGAACATCTAATTATGTTAATGATCGATCGTGGCTAGCAGTGGCAATATTGAGGCATCCTCACAGGAGCCCATATGCCAATAGAGACCGATCAATTCGGTCCAATCGGTGACGGTGTCATATAAAAACAATTATACTAATGATGAACATTATTTTTCCAATGTCAGAATTTTTTCAATTTTTGATTTGAACAGCTAATGATAGTGATTCACCTTGAAAAGTAGTTCGAGCATCCGATGTGCAAATTCAGCAAAACTTATTTAACCCTCGTATCAACCTTAATAATCACTCTAGCGTCAATATCTTGAATACTGTGACGGAGAGATTATATTAACTAAAATATACACTCATAATAATACAAAATAAACTGAACCCAAATAATTACTTCCGTTAGACAGCGAGAACTGAACCACCTGTATTTTTTTCAATCAGGATAGTAAAGATAACTTCTATACTTGAGGAATGAGAGTGAATTAGTTTTACTACGTTATAAAATGGGAGCACATGTGGCATCTATACAAATATCAAGAGGTATATTGATTTTGGTGACTAGTAGAGGAAACCAGGGCGTGCGTTTCGTCCTATTTGAGACACGCCAGCTGGATGTGTCCGCAACCTAGTGGGTGATATTGTTTCTCCTGATGCTGGAACCCAGTACTTACCGCTTCGAATGCCAGAGAGTTGCTCACTAAGCCACTGGAGAATGATAGGCGTCTCTTGAAGCCATGGGTACTAAGTCCCAGCTTCAGTGGGAATAACATCACTCACTGAGGTGCAGGTATATCCAGCTGACGAGTTTTAAATACGACAGAATGCGCATCCTGGACTCCTCTGAAAGTCACCAAGATCAATATAACATCATCAATATTCAGCAGCATGGCGGCACCTGTACAGCATCCTGCCTGTATAGCAACAGCAAATTACAAGTATCATGACACTATTAAGAGCCATTTACATAGAGTTATAGCAACTTAAAGCAATCAACTCCCTTAATAAACTTTAGCAAAACAATCGGAAGACGTAAGTTGCCGTACGGTTCAGATAAATAAAGTTTGAAGCGTTATGAAACCACCAGTACAGATTGAATAAAGACCGCAAATTACCATAAAATTAGTTTTCACTTCAGTTTCTTAAATTGGTTACCCAAGACTTATTTATGATTCAAATACTTCAAATCACCAAATGTCACGTCTTCAAAATCGAAAGTGATATCTGTCTGAATGTAGTAGATATGATACTGAAATTTCGAAGCAAAGAATTAATCATAGCAACCGCTTGATATATAAATAACGACAACTGATTGGTTGAATAGCATAACTCTTTGTTTTACTTACTGAAGTGAAGCAGACAGAACGAAGTAGTTTGTACACACATCTACATATTCTAACAACGGCTAACTTGAAATCAAGACTTCTAAAGATCAAGGTGATCCAAACACTGAACGGCAGTGTCGCTCGTTTCGCGTCCAGCTCATCAGTGGTGTACTCAGTGTGATCCAGCTTATAAAGCTGGACTTTTCAAGACCCCTGAATTCCGTCCAGCTACTCATCATTACTAAGACTGAAGAACACTATATGTCATAGGGAAGTGGATACGAAGATCTGTAGAAAAATATTTTAACGCAGAAGCTGTTAGTAGAGTCAACAGAGTCTTCAAATACCGAATATAAATGAAGACGTCAGATTCATCATGCTTGCAAAAGTCATTCATCTTCTTTTCTTCCAATGAAATATCTAAGAGGTGGGCATACCTGAAATTACATTTTATGTCATTATACATTAGTCTTACCACACAGACATATGATATATTCGGCTTTGCTTTGCAAACTTTTGGGAATTAAAGTGAACAGGAATACACCTTTATTTAGTAAATTATTAACTGAAATAACTGAAGTAAGTCTTAAATTACCTGACTCAAAGCAATTAAACGATATATAACTTTGATGTATGAATGAATTGGTACTTAAATATTTTGTGCATTCTAACAGTTTTCATCGCTCTCAGAATTTCCATCTTTCTTTAACAAGTTTTTTTGAAACCATTACAGGCGTAATCTTAAATACATCTTTCCACTGTCTGCTCATGTAAACTTAAGTTGAAACACTAATAATACTGTTGAATAATATTCGTATCTGCATATTACCCAAATAGTCTACTGGATTATTGAGATTTTCTTGTTACACCAAGAAAATGGAGTGCAAAGAGAGTATTTTGTAAATAATAGTTTATAGATGAATAAAAATCCGCTGCTTTGCAATAAAATTCAAAACTCTGTGTTACTTAGTAAGGGAATAGAATCATAATTAATTAAAATCTATTTCTCCTATTGCTCACATATAAATACAGAGAAGATAATGAAATCTCACTTTTCATCTGTTTCATTCTTTTTTCTGGTCTTCGTTTTTCCAAGGGAATACAATTGTCGGTGTACGAAGCTAGTCCGTGGTAGTTCAAATCCTATTTGGAATCAAGCTTTTCGGTTCACAAATCTTTCAGATAACGATCTAAACAGTCACCATTTAGAAGTTACAATATGGAGCTGTGTCGAAAACACGGATGAACAGCATAAAATTGGCGAGGTATATGAATAAACAACCTTCAGTTTACTATAGATGTATTTTTGATGTTCACATTACAAAAGCAAATTGTTTCACTTGATTAGCTGAAAGTGCTAACTTGTCAAAGACTTAAGATTTACAGCAATACTGTCGAACCGAAAAACTGACTAAAGGCACTTGCTGCTACAAAATAATAATCGAAACTTTTATTATTATAGGCAAAATACTCCTCCTTAAATTTTAGGAAGGAAGATTCATTATTAGATCATATTAACGTTTATCATACTTTTTATTACAGTTAGGATGATAATCGAGATATGAGGAAACGGATTTGTAGATAGAATTGAATACATTTTAGTTATTTTCGGTAGTCGTTTGCGATCAAATTCAGGACATGTGTTACTTTTAATTGTTTAATCTAAGGTTGCATATATCTACACTCTCTTTCTGGTCTTTCAAATGGAACTAGAACCTGTTACTCAAAAACATAGAGTATCATCAGTTGAAGTGAGGATTACCAATGGTCTTTTTCTGTTTAGTAAATCCATTCATATTTGCAAACGTGTTAAAGCAGTCCATATGGTCATGTAAATTCTATTTGAATTTTTATCGTCAGGTGTAGATAGCATAAAACCGTAACGGCTACTAAAACTGATGCAGAAACAACGCCACCCAACTACTTCATATAAGTAAAGGAATATTTCGAGAATCAGAGTAAATACGGATTAACTATTCTCTTAGTTGTACGTTTAGGAGAATCGAAAAAGTTTGAATTTATTTGTATAAACCATAAATTGTAATTAAAACATGAAAGATAAATACTGATACCAACTAAAAGATCTTATAAATTAGTAACTCGAGAGTTAAAATTTACCTATCAGTGATGAAAGCATAATACGTATCTACAATCTATCTGACTAGAAGTAAACAGTGCTTCTTTTCTGTCTACATAAATTGGCTGCCATAAAATATATTTTAGCTAACGTTCACAATACATTTCCTAATACAAAAGCTTTAGAAACATCTTCATCATTGCCTTAATAAAATAGATGCATGAGCATTTTGTTATTTGAGCTTAATACAGTCAGAAATGCATCTGATACATGCACTTCGATTTCATACAAACTTTATTTTTCACAGCTCATGTTTTCAACCCGTTTTCAGTGTATACTGTTTAACTATAAACAGTTTATATATCAGATAAACTAGCTATGCTTCTTGGTTAATTTTGTTCCCAGTACTACATATATACTATGCAGGTGTTTCTTATGAAACTGTTTATCATTGAGAGCCTTCTTACAACTTTCTGCAAGTTACTTAATCATAAAATAAGCTTAAACGTAATTTTTAGGTCTGTCGTGAATGATCAGTAGACATAAGGTCATTCCTTGTGCACGATACTGAGGTCTCAACACCTATAAATTACTTTTTTCAACAACATATTCATACTTCAACATGAGAATTTTCATCCTTGCAAGCAGATTTTCAATAGAAACCTCATAGTTCTATTTTACTTCAAGTATCCTTCGTTGGATGATTTACAAGTAAACTGTACCTTTCTGTACTCCAAGAATAATAAAACAGCCAAGCATATAATTTAAGTCATTAAATGAAAACTCTGCAGCTTGTTGATCACTCCCATGTCTGGTGACCACTACCCAATTAGTAGTTAATACTATTTTTTCCTTATTGCAAAAGACTGATTGTAAGTGACTCAAAAGATCTGGCTATAATTGAAAGTTAAATAAAAGTAACACGAACATCTTGACGCTTGATTTTAAATCTTAATGAGCCTAACCACTGATTATTGTCTCCAGTGATCCGCCAACAGGCTACCGTTATTTTTATTACAATTCTTTTCTATATTCCCACTAAAAAATATGAAGTTCTTCTCAGTAGACAGGAGGAACTGAAGATGTAGTATTTGTTAATCTTCTCGTTAGCTGCTACTCAAGGGGGGGATTGCTGTTGATTGATGTTTTTTGTAGACATTCATCTACCGTTGTAAATATTCAACTTTCAAATTAGGTGAACTTCAGCCGTATGATGTTAAAAGTCAATCTACAAAATTCACTAGACCTGGAATCTGACCAGTGCTGAATACTAAAGACCGCAACGGTCACCAACTTCTGACCACTTCTTGCATATAATCTAGTCTTACAATGGGTCTGCGGTGGTCTCGGTAGCTTAACGGTAAGGCCTGTGACTTCAGCACTGAAAAACAGAAGTACTAATCATCAGAAGAACAAGTTTCTTCATCCATGTAGACACACTTGACTGACAAGTCCCAGGGAGCAAGAAACCTAGCTTGAGTAGATCTTCCTGCCGATAGACTCATAACACCGAAATACTGTGCACATAAATCTTGTCTTACTTCGCTTACTTCGTCGATATGCTTCGCTCATCGCTGAGCGTTAAAGACTATTCAGCTTTATCAAATACCCATTTACAACCACTTTGTGTGTATAGACTTTACTAGCGTCAGCTGTTACTGTCATTAAATAATCCTAAGCAAATACGACGATGCATAAGATGATATTTCCTCACCATTTCATTGAGGCTATTCATTCTTCTCTTCTAGATTGTAATTGACCTCAGTGTTGCTGACCTACTAGATGTTGCTTACTGGTATCCAATACGTTCAATCAACCGTTTCTTTTCAACATCAGAATTGTCTAATATGGTAGGTCTCAATATAACTGATGCTGTTAACACGTATAACAATTCACTTTCCTTGTGAAAAACGGTACATTTAATTATTCATTTGGTTGTTAAGTTTCTAAAATTATATATTCAAAATATTTTTATCTGTATGACTTTGTTGTTGTAATTGTACTTTTTAAACTTAGTTGTTGTATCATTTGTTAAGATCAGGGTGGAAATTATCACAACGTTAAACCCAAGAACTTATAAATGGTCTTTTTTATAAAGTTTAAATTACTGGGACTCTCTTTACGGACTGCATGGTAGCACAGAAATTGAAATTCTTCCTGAATTCATTAATCTACCAACTATATTGTTACAGAAAGTATGTTGAGGCAGTACATTCGCACTAGAAATGCACGACTACAACAGTTATTGATAATTTCCAATGCTATATATGTTTTCAGATAAAACGTTTGCACTTTCAGACATACTATAAACCCGACAGTACTCTTTCATACAATTCCTGGTCGTTTTGTTAGTTTTCGGCCAAATTTTTTGTGCTTACTGACTTGTTTCGTCGTAATTATAATACTTTTATCTGCGTCCATCTCTCATTTATTCTCATCCCTCTTAGAATACTAACTTCACCATGGAGTGGTTTTATTCAGCTAACTACTTGATTTCGTCTTTAACTACCTCATTTCCAGTACTGGGTAATTTGCCACATTTGTTTTTTATTAAGGAGTGTGACAATATCCTCTAGATTCCTAAAATAAGCCTGGATATCCATGAAAAGCCTTCACAGCCAAACATGAGGTATCGAACTTTCGGGAAAGACCATGTGATCATATGTTTGAGACTCAGATTGGTTGAAGGGCTCTCTAGAAAGGTGTATAACTTTCCAAGGACATCAATAAACCGCTAATTTTTGTACATATGCGACTAGACAATAAACCTTGTCACTTTTGCCACTTTCCTTTCTGTTTTCGAGGAACCAAGTGATCATCAAGGGCAAAGTCTAAGGTTGTTTTTCAAGAGTGCATTTATATATATATATATATATATATATATATATATATAATAACACAAGAATATATCAAGTTCAGAATAGATTTTTACGATTTCAAGGGTTTGTCAGCATTTCATACACACCATTTTTGGAAAGAAAGATTCCTTACCACATTTCTTGTAGGAGACGTTGCCAGTGGTATGGCAAAAATTTCTTTGTGGAACTGTTTCTCATCGCATTCGACTTAAACCCCATGCGCAACGCGTTTGAACTCTGCTTCATCTACCGTGTGCTAGGCAACCAGTTAGTATCATTTACCCAATAAGTGTTGCTCATGACTACTGCAAAAAGGTGTAAATGGTTGCCGATTGCATTTCAATTTCAAGCAATTACTATTTGGATTATTACATAAATTGTTCATAAAAATCCACTGGATCATAAGTTATTGTCATTCATTTCCTATGAAATTCCAAAATTACTGTATTTGCTGACAGGAATACTTGTATGTATCCATAAAATGATAAGAATCAAAGCAGTAGACAGATAAACTCCATAATCTCATTTATCCGTAGCCCAAATTACTAGAAATTTGGTAACTTTTCAAGTGGTCTTCGAAAGTATCAGTTCATCTGTATCTATCATAATCACATCCTTATTTATGTAAATGACTAACTTTGAAGAAAGGTTTGAAATAAATGATGTCCACTTTTATTCCTGTTCTGACTCAGAGTTTCTTCCTATAGAAGAATTCGGAAAAGGTTCTCTACAGCTGTTTAGACCTAAAACCGTGATATCTGTGCTCGAAAATCAGCCGTTAATTCCAACTTTATGAGATGATACCAGTTTTATGTATAGTGTTTTGATGAGAAAGGGGAGTTCACAGTTCATCTTTATCCATGAGGAAGAATGTTAACTCATATGCTTAACAGAATAAAACGTAGAGCATAATGAAACTGTTTCAAACAGTATGAAACACCTAAATAATGAATATTTTGATAACTTGAAATGCTGTATATGCCACTGCAGAGTATTGATTCAAATAAGAGTCACTAAAAAACAGTGTTTACAAATTTAAGACGACTAAATTACACTTTGTATGTATTAGTGTTTTTGTGTTCTCTGAGCATTACGGTTTAACGGTAGAGCTTTCATTGCCTGTTTCGACATCGTAATCAGTAGTAACCTAAGTATGAAGTAAGTTATCATGATTCCACCGTGAATAATACAACAGCCTGTCGTGACAAAGTGACACTTGATTGGTAGTTTCTTTTGTTTGTTATATAACTGACCGCACACATTTTCTTACTGGTCATTTCTCTGTCTAACCTATGACCTTTAGGTTGTTTATCACTTTGTTATTTTTCAGTGGATCATATCGTTGTCCAGCTGAATCCGATTACAATTCATAACTTCGACTGTTTTGACTTATCCTGATAAATATCAAGCGGAATAAAACCTCGTCATGGCAGCCAACTTCATGAAACTGCCTCACTTAAGAGTGTTTTCCTCTCATGGGATAAATGTATGCGCACATAGCCACACAAATTATCCCTTTAAATGCTACGAAGCAGTATAGGTCTCAGTCCAATTGTAACAATAAAGATGAAATCTAACCTTATACTGTTGCATTATTTGTATACATTTTAGAATCCCGAAGTTAGTACTGGCGCGTTCGACTTTCAACAATATGAAAATCGTAAGTTAATTGGAAATTTTTTCAGTTTTCGGCTTTATTGAAGAGTTTTAAGGTTCCCATCATCTAAATTAGAACAAGATATATAAGCAAACAATACTGTTCTCACTTAGATTCTATTGAGGGTTGTCTGCTAATGTGATAAATGTATTTAAATAATGATGGTGATAAGAATATAAATAACAAGATGATGATGTTTCCAGCATTATCTAAAATGGTTGTAATATTGATGATAATGATAATGAGAAGCAAGAAAGCAGCATGAAAATGTAGACACTCCGATAATCAGAGTTGGTCAAAAGCTTGGTAAAATAAAAGTTACATAATACTGAAGATCTATCAAAATTACACAAACCTGGACTCCCTCTACGTCGAGTTTTAGACATGTCTAATTCTCCATACCGCGCAGTTTTAAAGTGACTAGTAAAGATTTAAGATCCCTTAAACAAAGAATTAGCCAACCACAGCGTCAAAAACGTCTTTGAAATTATTTTTAGGCTATATAATATGAATGTAAACGTAAAACATATGATATCGTTCGGTGTCTCATCACTATTCACTAATGCGCCATTATTGCAGATGGTAGAGTTTGTGTATCAAAAAGTATCGGAAAGATAAATCAAAATATCTGGAGTACACTACACGCCCTCAAGAAGTTGCTTCTTAGATGTACTGTGAATGTACATTTCGTCTTCAGCAGCACGCATTATGGACAGATTGACGGGGTAGATATGGGTTTCCTACTTGGCTCTCTTTTAGCTTACATATATTTCTTGCTAAACTAGAAAACGGACCATCGAAAGGTGTCATTAATGAGACAAATATGTATCACCGTTATACTGACGATACATTCAATATCCTGGATAAGAATGTAGATAGAGATAGGTTGTTAAGAAGACGTAATGAAGTCTACGATACACTCACTTTCAATTGTGAAGAATAAAATGCAAATAAAATACGCTTCTTAGGTGTCTCGCTAAGCAGGAAACAATGGCTCACTCGGCAAGTAAGTTTACAGGAAGACCATATCTGTAGGTCAGTACACACATTTTGTTAACCAAGTACCCATTTAGCGAAAAGCAAAACCTGATTAAATGCCTCACTAACAGAGCGAGAAAAATATGTTTAGATGATTGAATATATTCGTAACTCATTGACTGTAATTAGCTACCCTAACAGTTTCATAAAAAACACGTAGACAAAGCGAATGGAAATTAACATGGAGTTATTACCGTACAAAGGATACCATTGTTCGAGAAATTGCAATTTAATGGAAATGTAGCCACTTAAGTTTCATATCAGAGGCTCTCTAGAGCCACTAAGAGGACTTTTTACGCCGCGCAACTCTGTCTATAATTTTCCGGTCGACCAACTCTCGTTGCTTAAATAAAAGATGAGTTACCTTGTTTTGACATTTCTGTCTGTATTTACGGGTTTAGCTGCTGCTGTGGAGAAAGCCACATAGGTTGAACTACTAGACAACTTTATAGACTTGTTGCTGAGCATCTATCTTCATGGTTGAGAAAGAGACAGGTAAAACTCATATAGAGTTCTGTTTTATCTCACGTCGTTGATAGAAGTCACTTAGTAGATAAGAACGATGCTTTCATGATTATTCACTGAATACTACCTAATCGTTCGAAAGATATTCGAATTCATCTTTTAGACGTAGCAGAAGCTGTGGGAATTCCAGCTTATAATCCTAGTCTTTGTGTCCAGAGGAAGTTTGTTCATACCTTATCTCTCCCTCAGTCAATGAATACTTAATAACAACCATATCACTGAGATTTTTCCTTTTCGTTTCTTATTCTTCACCCCTTTCATATGCTTACTGTATTTGTTTAGACTTTGTTTATCCACTTGTTTTGTTCTTCACCATCAGGTAACTTTTATTTTACCAAGCTTTTGACCAACTCTGATTATCGGAGTGTCTACATTTTCATGCTGCTTTCTTGCTTCTCATTATCATTATCATCAATATTACAACCATTTTAGTCAACACTGGCAACGTCATCATTTTGTTGTTTGTATTCTTATCACCGTCTTCATTTTAATACATTTGTCAAATTAGCCGACAATTCTTCATGATTGGTTTAAAACGTACATATGTTAAGCTATTAATATTAGATTAAAACCTGTAGAGAATCTAATTGAGGACACTATTGTTCGCTTATATTTCTTGCCTTTATTATCTCATTTATTTGTCCACCTTACTACTGATGGTAATAGAGGATTTTCTAAAATTCATGTATCAATCAGCACTGCTTAAAACACTATCTCAAAACGTTATCTATAATTCTCACCCACGACCCCACCAGCAGGGATCGAACCCGCTACCTTCAGTTCCGTGGGCAGCGCGCTACCATTGAGCCACTGGGTCAGAATTCAATGATCCATATTCCCAGCTTCTGTTAGCCCACGATATATAGCGCAACCGCCACCCAATGTCATCGCTGAGTATCTGTCCTCATGGCCATCAGGCTTTGACTCCACCGGTCACGACTTTTCATTGGAACTTCGGGAATATTTCTCGAAGCTAATCACCAATGAGCACCAGTTCAATTAAATTTTGAGGGAGTTGTGGAGATTTGGAATTATTTCAAGTTGTTATTCATCGTATGTATATTCACAAAAGGACTTAGGTTGGTTTATTTCCCATAGAATATGTTCTGTAAACACTTATTGTCCTTGTATCCTGTTTTATAACCTGAATTCAATAAAATATAGTTCACAATACTGATTGTTTCACCTTAACCTTCCTTTTCTTTGATTTAGTCAGATAATATAGAAACTTCCGTTCTTCATGGTTTTGAAGTGCTGTCTTCATTCTAAAAGCATCTTAAAAATACGTATTCAATTATAACCATTTTTTCTGGGCACTACGGTTTCTAAATGTCTTCAGTAATAACAGCCAGTATATTTCCGACTACATATTGATCTATTTTACAGAAGTTCCAGAAAAGTTAATCAAACCAAGATATTATGAACCAGAACAATGGTCTCCTAGAACTATCTATCGAGATTCAGGTAATCCAGATGATGAACTGAGAAAGCAAAGATCGTCGAGAGACACTCGAAATGAAGTTCGACGAGATGATTATTCAGATATAGATGAACAGAAGTTTTCTGCGAATTCTAGACAAAACAGAAAATATGCTGAACGTGATTATCAACAAAGAGAGAATGAAGAACATCATCGTGGTTCAAGACGTCATCCTAAGTAGGTTAACTACTTTTGGTTAAAGTTATGCATGAACAAAATGTTTCTTAATGCGCAGTAAAATGAATTCGTTGTAAAAATCACAGCATTAGATGAAGAGACTAAGGAATAGTTCTAAATGTTTGGAGTCAATCAGCCAATGTGTCATGTTTGCTGAAACTCATCTGCATACCATGTCTAGAGTTTTGAGGGAATCAACGTACGCATAGAGACCTAAACCTGTGCGAAGCAGTGCTGAAGTTTCAGGCTGTACCATCAGGTTATTAAATTTATAACCACTCCCTAAAGTACCAGAGCATGTAAACCGATCGGCCACCGGATGTTAGCTGACGCTACTGTTAAATTAAGTAAAAAACGCAGTTCGTCCACCATATTTTACCGTGTACTTTTAACTGAATGATGCAAAAGCGTTTTGGTTTTGGACATTGGAAATTTAAGAATTGATCCAAAGTATCACAGCAATGTACAGCTGTCCCAGCCTATTTAGAAACATTCATGAGTAAAGTGCCACTTGCGTAATAAACACTTGAGCCGTTTATCATTTTTGTTCAACTTAGTTGTTGACAAATAGCGTAATAAAGTTTCCGTTCCAATATGGAAGAAACCAATAAAGCTATGCACCCTCTATTCTTTTCCTCGAAGCCATAGATTCTAACCATTTCTTTACTAGATATGCTCCATTTCTTCATATGAAGTTAAAGCAGTTGCATCAGAATGGAACTACCGACTAGTATTTACTTAAATTCGGTCGTGCAAAGTCATCTTGAAAGAAGATGAGTTTTGATTACATTGAACTCAGATAATTCTCGTGGTTAAAATGGTTTAATATAATTTAAACGTGTCTCATTACTTAACATACATGCTAATATATTATGCGAACACAGCAATGTTAGTCACTGTGCCACAATAATCAGTAGGATTTTAATGATGTACAACACTATCAAATACCCAGCAGTTAGCGAGAATTTAGTGGAATATTTAAGTATTCCTTTAATTCATACACAGGATAAATTTCAGGTAAATAAATAGGGAAATATATGCTTAGGCTTTCCTCTTGCTACGTCCTAACATCACACTCGACTATCAACAGATTCTTAGTGAATGACATAGGGACACTTTTTTGCAGATTCTTGTGGAGAAAAACGTTTTTTACGCCATATAAATGATCTACAACTAGAGTTACACAAACAGCTAAGGTCACTCTATGCTTCATTTGACAATTAGATTGTTTCACTGAACGCAAGAATATTTCCAGTAATATAGGATAACACCTACTTTATCAAAATTAACTGAACGGCATGGTTTAGATGATCCATCGGTTTTGTGACTTGTCACTGGCATCTTTAATACACTCCAGTGCACAGTTAACCATAATAATTAGAATGCTTACACCAATACTTAAAGCCATACAAGTCTAAAGAAAAGACTGTTTTTCATTGACAGTGGACTTCTAGGACGACCATTCAGAATGAAGATGGTAAAATATGTTACAAGCGAAACTATGACATCAAGATCATTTATCTGCCTGCGAATGCATCATAGTTTTCGTTCCCTGTATAATATTTTTCTAAAAAATACTGCAGAATCTGCTCACTCTTGAACGTTTTAGTGTAAGAAGTTAGAAAGTATTGAATCACTGACTGTTGACCTTAAAGTATTAAGCATTTCCACATATATAAAAATAAGACGTAAGGATTCAGAAAGCAGATAATGAAGGCTAAGCAATAGCTTCTAATTTCCTGGAGTCTAGAATTGGACAATATGCCGGTAGAAAATCTGCAATCAGCACCGGATTAAAAAAAATCTATCATCAGATTTCCTACCAGCTCATTTAGAAACGCAGGATGCTAGTTTACTTGAAACTAGAGTTTCAGTGAACAGAATGAAAACTACGGCTGTGGTTGTGCATAGATTATGTCTGAGTCTAACCACAAAGCGATTATCTCCATCAGTTCATCTAAGATATTTTTGTCATTACATTAAACTAGTGATAAAGTAGTCTATTCCTCTGGTGACACCCAGACTAGGCACTACAACTGACTAATAAAATGTAAACCTGTTAAGCTCAAACAGTAAAACTCATGCAAAGAAAGACATATTTTATTGAAAGTGACTACTTAAAAGTTCTGCTTTGCAACTGTTCTTCATACATGGCCAACGTAGACCACAACATTTCTTTGGTACTAAAGAAAATAACTTTTTTGGTTACTTCATTTTCTTGGCATTCACCATTGTCTTTCAGAAACCCAAACTATGATTATGGCGGAGTAGACGAAAATGCCATTCAGTCAGATGCTTCAGAGTTTTCTGATCTTTCAGAATTATCAAGGATGAGTTTGCATACAACTCATTCTGATCGTCATCGTGTAGAATCTATGCAAATGCACCGTGCAGTGAATCAACAGTTTCAAACGCCTACTCAATCTCGAGGTGACAGATATCCTCAAAATTCTCAAACGTCAAGCAGACTAGATCAGCAATTTTCACCTTCTACTGAACAGCCAGCTAGAATAAGAAGAGATTCAAACCGTTTAGAAACAGAAACTTCTGGTTTAGTTGAAGAAAGAGTGATACCTAAAGACAGCGGAAATTCTGAGGGCGGTTTTGGTCAAGGAACTTCTTCGACTGGCAGTGCTGGAGGTAGAGATCCTCGAATTATGGTAGAAAATAAACAATCAACTTCTGAAATCGCTCAAAGTATCGAGAGAGATCAAGTGGATGGCAGAAAAAGAAGGCCAAATATAGGACAAAAGTTTTCACACGTCCTTGGCAGATCCAGTAAAAGTAGTAGTACATCAACTTTGGGTAAGTTCGGACACGCTTTTGAAAATTCCTAACATTTTTGGAGGTCTGTTCTTGGTACTGTTTGTCGCTCATATCAATTGGCGTTTTAATACTTTCTTGTTGATTGCAGCCAAGCATTATCTGTGTAACTTTTTTAGGCTGCCTATCTTACGTAAAAGTGGGTCTCAGCCACATAACCGAAAAAATGCATTTGTCATACAATCTTAACTTGGTGACCAGGCACCATTATCTCCGCATGCTTTCAACAAATAAAAAGTAATTGACTTACTGTTAGAAAAAAATACTCAAATGGAATTCAGTATTGCAAAGTACATTAACAAAACACAGTAACACTGTAACAACGGCTAATTTTTTTAACTCAAATCCCGATTAACCTCAACAATTCATTTTATCCAATGCCATAGTGAATAACCAATCTATGATTAGAATGTAATGCAACAGGGATTGAGTTTAACCTAATTTTTTATTTGGATCACTCCGTTACCAAAATTGAATAATGTTGGTTTTCCGTGAATGAGGAAAGAAGTGCTTACCGGAGGTTTTGAGACACTAACGCCATCCTCTAGAGACAGAGAAAGAAAGTAAAAAGAGGCGGGTACTGTTTGGAGAACCAAGCACATCATGAAGTAACCAACCATAGGTATATATTTAAATTGCCCACTATTATATTCAGAGAAATGTACTATGGTTAGTACTCTGACAAATAAGCGCCATTTTTTCTTCGTAGTGAATCATATTAAATGAGACCAAGATAAAGAATGTTCATGCAGTAATAATGCCTGTTCCATTAGGGTTTACGGTGGGCATCATTTCAGAGATAAAACCAAAAATAAGGAAGTAAAGTTAGCAAACAAAGACAACTGGATTTCTGTCAAAGAAGCTTTGTCAGTAATGACTGAGTTTCAATGCTGTTTCACTGATTGGTTACCAACAGGAAAAGCCAACGTCGTAGGAAAGAACAGAATTCCTAGGTCTTGTTTTCAAATGACAGAAAGTGTTATCATTTTTGAGGAGTTAAATAGTTTTACTATGCTGTTAGTTTTGGAAGAAATTTCTCAATATTACAGGTTAGTAAATCTACAGACGATTCATAGTGTCACTAAACCTAAAAAAAACTTACAAAAAAACCGTGAACATATACATATTTTAAGAGAAATAAATCCTTTCATAGCAGGATATAAGCTTTCTCAGCAGTCTAAGAATAGTAATCCAGCTACAGCTGATCATCGTGAACTGAATATGATTGTAATCACAGGAGATGAACTTCAGACCTCATTTTCCAGTCTATAGCATAGTCCCTTTCCCAGTGGATAATGACGAAGAGATGTTTAGAAGTACCTTGTTATGAAAGTGATGGTATGACCATTGTTAGTGGTCTGAACTTCAGTTGAGGTTTCTCCTTTGGTCACATAATTAACGAAGTGAACGAATTACAGTGAACCCATTCTATCTACTTTCACTGCGCTTTGTCACATTGTGCGAATTCGATCGTTCTAAACCCAGTATCACACCAACTAACACAGGAAGAAAACAAACGTATCCGACTAGCCTACAGTGAATAACAATATATTTGATGAAATATATGAAAAATGTACAAAGCCTGGCATAAATTTTATCGAATGAGAAAAAAAGGTTATGAAGCTAAGGTCGGTCGCTGTTGATTTACTGCTGTCTTTATTCATTTCGTGTAGGGATACAACAAACTAAACAGAGTGGTATATTCTGTCTCATTCAACCTCATACCCGTTTTGCTTTTGTAAACTCCAGTGCTGGTACTTACATGCTGCAATGGCTGCATAACTAACATGCATCTGTGTTTTGCTACACGCTAATGGTAACAGTAATCGATAGGCTGGTGGATGGGGTCATCGAAAGTAATCGCCGGTTAACTCCGTAATCCAGTCAATTGTCTGCTGACCACCCAAACAGTAGGGGTTAAAATGTCTGGTTACACCCTTCTAACCTTGGTGGCAGGAGGCTTGATATTAGATGAGGTACAGTCAGCCATACTGGGATAAACCAAGCCGAATACTCACTGCCGTCCGTGCTATGGAGTTAAGGGTAGATACCCAGGACTTCTAGGCTTTTTCTATTAGTGGACATGTATGACCTGTTGTGTAAATTATTTCGTGTACATGCGCCGAATTATAAGCCATCCTCATGGCTGGGAACATTTCATCGACCAGGGAAACTGGATGAAGCCTAGAAAACAAAAATAGCAAGTACCGATAGGCGACAAAATCACTAGAACCATCAGCGGTTGGGAAACTTATTTGATCATTTCATTTGTTTTAGGTGAAACAACAGTTTACTAAATTAATACGTTGCTTCTTTTTGCTTGGTGAGTTATTTCGGCTAAAATTGTTTACGAGAAAACGTGACAAACGTAGGTACATTATTAGTGTGAGAACCTAACTATTTAGTGGTAGTTGCAGGATAATGTTTGGGTAGATGCTGAGTGCTACATAGCACTAACTAACCAACAGCAGGAGCATGGTTTACGTCCATAGCTTATAACTCGTTAGTTTGTTTGGATTTTTCTGGTAGGTATCAGAGTTAAGGTAGATAATATCAGCTTTTTAGTGTTTAGAAGATCCATAAAACTGAGTAAACTGGTAACATGTCAATGAATGGCTATATTACTGAACCATTTAAAAAACTGATAAGATGGTATGACAAAACTTCAGAAATAACATACTTATGGTCTGAAATCATTTAATTATAAGCCACATAAACTGATGAAAAACAACTTCATTCTACCTGATAACTTATGTTGTTCAGTAATATATGTCGATGATGACGATGTTGTGAACTACATTAATAATATCGATGGAACACGTTTAGTGTTCGACCAATAGGCTATACAAAACTGGTTGATTTTCAAGCGTAAATTAAAAATACCAATGTAGTAGGAGTGATCAAATACATTTAGTATTAAATTTTCAAAGAACCCCCCTCTCCTCAACAATTATTTTCAGCCACATAACTAATCAATATGTGTCAGTTATTTGATAAAAGTGTGTAAAGCTAGTTCAGTAAAAATCAGGGAATTCTAAAAGTAATTACCGTTGGATGTTAGCATTTTTGATAGCATAATTCAAAAGCGGAAATTTTCATGCTTGTATACAACACACAGAAAAATCTGACGATAAATTCAGGAATGAAAGGAGTTTGAAAGATAAACAACATGAAAATAAGAAATATGTATAAACAGGAAAGGTTAGCACGTAAAAAGAATAAGTTTTGAGACCAACTTCGGTCATAAGAAATATTACTGGGGCAGATTTAGCATAAGAACAAATTGTTTCCAGACAGACAGAAATTGGTTTGAAATCCTATAAGAATAAACTTTCAATCAAGGTAATCTTGCATACATGACAACTTTTTAAAGGCTGTTTTAATGCTAACCCTGTGGCATAAATAAAACATTTTTTGCTATGGACTAAAAGTGATTGTCTACCACCCATTCTGTCATCGTTTGAGAATCTAATCATCATTCGACTGCACATTCCAATACCCTTAAATGTATATCTCGACTAATCCTCTTCAAGAATATTTCCACGTACACAGAGACAAAACGAATGGTAAGGATGTATTAAGTTCATGGTGACATGAAATAGTTGGATATTTTCGTGCTAACTTCTAAAGTGTTTTTTAACCGTATGATCGAATATGATTTACACTGCCTTTCCAAGCATAAAGAATTAGCCACAACAGTGTGAAAATAAGGAGTGAATTGTTGAAAACAAGGTTCAGGATTAGTACAGTCCACGTACTTTGAAATATAACACACATATGGTAGTCGCGCTATATCACGAACTGAGAGAAGTAGGAAGTTTTGAACCACTGAACCCAGAGGCTGAGCGGTTGATGTGTTCGCCGTTAGTCCTGAAGATACTGAGTTCGATTCCTAGAGGGGTTGTGGTTGCATGGTGATGGGGACTTCCATACTGGCACGAAACAGCTGCCCAGTGCCTTTATGTTTTCAAAGGTTCTTTAATTGATTTCAGTCTGTGATCAGTGATACGTTAGAAAAAAAAATCACAAATAGCCTCAGAATACATATGTAAATAAAGATTTTTCTCAGTTTGCTTGTTTGATCTTTCAAATAAGCAGCCAATATATATGTATACTTATATAATTATTCTGCTTATGAATACGGTATTTATGGTTTTGTTATTTCTGCATAGGAATAATTATCCTAAAACGTCAATAATATCGTATAGTATTTTGTTTTTAGACAAAAAATCAAGAACTAGTTTTCAGAGAAGCGAAGAAGTGTTACCGTTAGGGGGATATGGTGCCATTTTTGAAGGTCATGAACAAGAAGGCACATTCGCTAATGGAAGATCATCGATGGTGCATCGTCAAATGAGTATAGGCAGCGGAAAAAGTGATAACCAAAATCCTAGATGTGGAGCTAACTCAAACAATACGGATCAAGAGAGGTAAGTGATCTCTAAGCTTAATAATGACTTGGTTTTTGGTGGTTCAACTGCAGTGATTCTTTCTGTTTCCATGTGTATTTGTGGAAAAAAATTGAATTAAAGTAGTTAAAGGGATATTTAGTAACTGCTAGGAATGAGTCATTACTCTTGTGATAAATTTGAATACCATTTCGTGTCCTGCGTAGATTTCGCGTCTAGAAACCACCTCATTTCAAACAACAAATCGTTTTATTATACAATTTACTTTGGCTTTGTAAACTAGAAAACAAGTTGTAATGCATTCACTTACTTCTCCTAGTGAAATAAATTAAATTAGATTGCTCTGTAATAAGCTCAGAAATAACGCAACCATTTAAGAGAGGAGGCAGAAGATATCAATGTATGTAGTGTGATCTGGCAAAGCGTAGTATCTCTCCCCCACACACCCAAATTGTCATTAGCCATATAAGTGAGAAGCGAGATAATCGGTGTATGGAAATAAAATGGACTGAAAATACATTTCATGTTAGTAGTGAGGATGAATCGGTCAACAAAAAGATTTAAAGTAGGCAGGAGGCATTAAAAATTATGTTAAGATATTCAAAATGTGAAGGATAACAAGTCCCTACTACATTTTTTTTAGCTACATCACCTAAAGTCTACGACCACTATATGCTTTTGTGGTTAAGTACCCAAACAGGAAGCTTGGTAGTCTCTTAATGACCCATACTCACAATCGCAAATTTTATCGGTTTCTGCTATGGTTTGGTTTAATCCTCCGAGGCTTCTTCTCACGCCAACTACACCCAAGGCATCAAGCTGAAGTATACATAAGATATGTCTGAAGCAGCTACATCTTCGGTGATTCACAGTCTCACAAACGTTTTCACTTCCTTCTACGTGTATACAACATTTAACATCAGCGTTGTTAAACTACTGGAGCACGAACTTTCATTTGTGTTTCGTTTTCATGGAGATGCAACAGAATACAATACATTGGTGTGTAATAAAAGATAAGTCTTCAGCAAATATTCAGTACCTCTGTAGGCTACTTAGAATAACATAAGCTAAATAAACCCTTTTTCTTGCCTAGTAAGTTAACTTATCTCTTTCAGACTTACAGATTTTTAAAGTAAAATAGCTTAGGCAAAAAATGGTCTAAAATTATGATCTGAAAAAGGAACACCGTAGATTAAGTATGTTAGAAATAATCAAGTGAACAACTTTCATTCTGATCAACAAGTTATCAATGTAAATTTTCTTCCTGTTATTAGTGCTACACATCTCTACCGAACGTGAAGTTTATACAATACTCGCTCTCACATCCCTTTAATTCAGGGGTATGTGAGTATACTTCATACTGAGTAAAAAGCTACGGCATAATTTTTGGCATCTTGTAAACAGCCTGAACCGAGAATATAAGTATTTTCAAATAAACTCATGCTGAATGCAGTTGGATAAATTCCAGATAATTGGAAACAATCAACAAAACGCTTTCGTAGAAGTCTTAACTTATGTTTGGAATGCTCACGAATTTGCATTTGAACGCTTTAAGAGTCTTCTCTGTTATTTAACCCTGTATCATTCGACATGCTGAATGAAACTCGATTATTTGATTGGTAATTGGCTCATGATAGATTTAAACCAGGTGTCGGAAAGTCAAAGAAATTTAAAGTATGAAAAATTGCCATAAATCATTTAGGATCACCTCAAAAGACAGATGGACAAACTATTTTCAAACTGTTTATGGTTTACATGTGCTTTTCGTAGCTTGACAATAATAGACTAAAGATAATATTTGTTAAATACGGATACACTAAACTTGAGTTGCTTATGCTTGAAATTCGAATTCATATGTTGCTAAATTCAAATTTTTGTTTGTCGAAACTAAACTTTTATCATATAGCATATACATGGGACGCAATGAGTCGCATGTTGGGGAATTTGTTGAAGGTCTTGGTCCTGGACAACTAGTTGGCCGACAAGTACTCGGAATGCCGTGTCTTGGAGAGATACAATTAAGCTTTTATGATCGTAAAGGTCATTTAGAAGTTGAAGTAATTCGAGCCAGAGGTTTACAACAGAAAAACACTGCCAAACCACTACCAGCTCCATATGTGAAACTACACTTATTAGAAGGTAAACAGTCTGTAGAAAAACTAAGAACAATGTACCCTCCAAGGCGGACACTGGATCCACTTTATCAACAACAACTCTCTTTTTCAGTTCCGTATCATGGAAAAATCTTACAGGTGAGTAACAAACACCAAGCATAATTTTTGTCAGTTTTTACAATCAATAGCGTTTTTCATCTGGCGTCACATCTGTTTTACAGTAGAAGCCCATTTTGATCTCTGTAACTCATGAAACAACCTGACTTGCTGAAAATGTTTATCTTTCCCAGCTGGTTCATGAGGACGTTGTCTGTAAAAGAGACTTTAAAAATGCTAAAGGCCTTAAAATAAGTGGGTAGTCCCGTTAGTATTATGGTCAAATGAAAACAGAGTATCATTCGATTAGGGTCATCAAACATTAGTGAATTGTCACCACTTACAATGCATTAGTTCATATGAATTTTTGCTATCTACGCTGATTATGGACAAAAGAAAATCACCTGAAATGACTTTATGATAACAAATTTTGTCTTTATAAATACATATTATTAGATAATTAAAGACTATCTCTACACCTTTCTCGACATTGTGCAAGTTGTTAGTTATTGGTGACATAAATTAAAAGGAATACTGACTTCGAAGAAATCAACATGCACTCTTGAAGATCTAAAGTCTTTGAATTTGTCTATATTGTTCCTCGATACATTTACAGTATTATCTTAGATCTAATTAGTGTATAAGAAAGATGGTGTTCTACTTTTAATAACTTTTGTTAGGGGAAATCGCTACGAAGTCAGACGAATCAACATATTATGTATATTTCAAGTTGTTATCCATCGTAGACTGACATCAGTTAGAGGAACAAAGGAAACCTGGGAACACCGGACAGCTGATTCGTCCTAGTATGGGATTCCTCCAAATCCCCACAACTCCCTCAAAAACCAATATAATGTATATACTTATTTTTAGACTGAATGAATTGCGAATAACAAACAGAGGCACACTGATTGATAGTCAGTAATTTACATTTCGTTTCTTCTAAGCTAGAGAATAGTGTTACATGATTTCCAACCTCTTGTAAATAATCATTAGGATTCAGAAGGTTAAGGGAATTACCAAAAATCTATAAACCAGTGTTCAGTTTATTTTTGTGCTTATGATGACTTTATGCATCTTAGATAGTGGATAAAGAAATTCAATACAGTTTGTGAGAGGAAATGACAGAAGTTATAGAACCAACAATGACCAGGATGTATAACACAGCTACTTCGCTTCCGTTCGAAACTGACCAGCAGTGGACACTTACGGATTCATACTACATCAAAAATGCAAACCACCAAACCTCACAGTTGGCAGATTAGCAATTTATTTGTAAACTACAACTTAGCGGTGAATATTTCGCAACTAGTTTTAACTTGACATATAATGTGAATGCCATCCAGAATCGGTGACCATTTGTCCTTACTTTTGAAATGATTGCTTCCACACTGCTAAGAAGCAGTACTGTGCCCATTACTTACTTGCTCTCATTGGTCCTCTACTGTTACTGAATTCAGGATAAAAACACTACTTTGAGTTCAATCCACCACTTACCAATCATATAAATGAATACGAAAACCTTTGGTTTCAAAAAAGTTAGTTGAAGCAGAAACATTCGAAAAGGAATTGTAAGACAAGGTTTCACGTTATGGGTCTAATAACTTGAAGCTATAGTATATTCAGACGTTTACAATGCAGTTGTTTGGTGCTTACACTTTAATAGCCAATCGCGAAAACGTTCGGCAACCAATGTTTGAAGAGAACGAAAGATACCTATTGGGTCATGAAGGAGATAAAGGACAATTCAGTGGATAAAATATTCCTTTAGATGATGAATTCAGCAAAGCTCTACGACCGTATTTATAATTTCGTCTCATCTATTTGATGTTCCGCATCACATAAATGATGACCTATTTCACTGTTGAACGAGGAGAAACCTCTGAGACGTAGACTATTCGACATATGTTAGACAATTTCAGTAGATAATCCCTTCTATCTTCTTCCTGCATACTTGCTACCAAATGTACATGTGAATTGATAAACAAATTTGTAGTTAACAAGAGTTAGCACTTCGTCTAATTTGGATTGTGTAATTTCACTTGTTGTCTAATACAAAAGAGATAAGTCTCACGACCTGATAGGTCCTAGAGAGTGCATTCTTAATTCATCTGTTGATTTTTGTCGTAAAATTATCTCTCTTAAAAGCCAAAGATTTTCCTTAGTCTGCTGAGAATACCTTCAAGATTAAACATAAAGACCTCAAAGGCAGTAAATATCTGTAATGCTCATCCTAAGCTAATAACGCTCCGTATGCTTATAATAAATTCATCAGAAACTTTCATACTGATAATCAGATAAACTACATAGGCTTTGTGTTGATACTAAATATCCTTTTGTATTATGTTTTATATACATATACAGATCAGTGTATGGGGTGAATATGGACGTATGGACAAAAAAGTATTCTTAGGAATGTGTGAGATTGTATTGGATGATTTAGACTTGAAAACTGTAGTTTTCGGTTGGTATAAATTATTCGGAATGATAGCATCAAATGCTCATCATCATCACAATCCTCAACAGAAAGGCTCATCATCGTCTTCTGCACCAGGCGATGACTCAAAAAGTAGCAAAAGTAATAAGTTATCAGAGGCAAAAGCTGAAAGAACAATGAATCGCAAAAGTCGTCACAATGATAATAATAACAATAACAACACTGATGAACTCAATCGAACCCAGTCTAAGCCATCTCAAGAAATGAAATCTCCACAACCAGGCTTCAGTAAAAATAATGATGGGAAGTCAACTAATCGAAGCCTTGGATCACCACATTCCACAAGACGATAGCAATAAATAGTACATTTGATGAGCAACCGAAATTGAAGATTGTTCTAGAACGCAGTACTTACACATAAAGAATACAGATCGTTCACGAAAACTAGGAAATTCCTACCATGGATATTTTTGTAGTGATTTCAGAATGAAAACTTTGAGCACAAAACATACCGACACAAGGAAAAACCTCACATTATTTTTGTATGAAATTAATAACCTCTGCCTCCAGTACATAATTCATGATAGCAAACCTGAAACTAATGTATCTTAAGTAATCTTTTCCCTTCCTTTCGTTTAATTTCTCAACTGCAACTGGTACTGTCTATTTCCTTGCAAACCAGTTTTTGCTTTGAGTTCATTTATTTCGACTTGTTTTTGCCCCATATTACCAGTTCACTTACATTTGTGTACATGCAAAAGGATACGGTTAACTAATTCTGTGCACAATTGTTATAGAGTTCCAGGAACACATATCTTTCATTCTTTGACGACTTCTATATTGTTATAGTCATCCCTCCATTCACTACAAAACGCTCTACCAATACTTACTAACTCATACTCACACATTCAATTACTTATCTCTTGTTTAAACAAAATATGTAACTCCTCTGCTCCCTAATGACCTAACCTATTAATCAAACTAGACGAACATATATCTTTGCATATACATAGTAACAATCTGTAGATTCTGGGGCCATTAAATTATCGCCATCAAACTTATCTCTCTACTCTCCCTCCGTTCAATACCCTCCCTAACCAACAAAATTCCATCTCAGTTATTTTTTAATTAACAAAAACAGTCTTCTCGTTACTATGACTAAAACACCTATTGATTATCTTATTTTTCTGTACACTGTCTATCGAAAAATAAGAGAAGAACCATAGACCCAGTAGAAAAATTTTAAATTAACAGTGCCAATATGGTTTGAACTACTTTCTTTCTTTTCTTTTACCCCCAACTACAAAGTTCAACTTATTCTTCATCGCGTTTGCATTCCCTGTAATCCTCTTTGTATTTTAGTGAACTTTATTTTTTTTTCGTTCAACTCTTCTTACTTTTATCATTTAGACATTACGATGTAACGTAGTCAGATAAGAAAACAAATCGCCGTTTATCTTTTTTGTCTCTTTTTGTCAGAGTTTAGATTAGATTTCCTCAAGTGTTGAATTAATTTAGTTTCTTGTTATTCTATTGCTATGGTGAGGCAATGTAAGAAGAGACAAAAGGAGCAACGAAGATTGTCCATTTTAATATTTGTAAAGTTTTTGACATTAAGTTTTCAGAGGAAAAAATTCACTTAAACCAATAGCTATCCATTCTCTCATTTTATTTTATTTTAAATTTCACTGCGCATAATTATACCTTGGAAAATGGTAATTAATGCGGTTGAATTAATTGAAGGTAACAGATATTAATTGGGTCATTTATCCATAATAACACAGCAGATTATCAACTAATAGTAATGTTTGTGCATACCATCTCAGACTGCAACACGAACACGTTTGTTGGCTGATGATCATATTAGCACCTTTGGTGTTGCGGCATATTTCCAATGAGTGATTTGAGGTGGTATGCTTTGTGTAATGACTTTTATTAGACTGTTGTCTAGTTCTTTCTCTACAGCAGCAGGTAATTAATATCTGAATAGTCAGATATTCACTCACCCGGTGTTAAACTTTACGAGGGATTTCTACGTTATTCTTCGTGTGAAATGTGCAATCTAGTTTCATTCGTCACTATTGACTGAAACATTTTCAACTTGTTCTGAAATTATATCCAGGAAAAGTTTGTGCACTAAGGAGAGGGCCAGTTTATTAAAAATATTTTTTTAATGAATGTTTACACAATGAAGACTCGACGAATAGTTTCTGAAGTGGTGTTGGGTGTTGTAATAGCTTCTAGTCAACAGGCGAGACAATTTATGTATGTGAGAAGATATAAGTGGCCATTTGAGGGTGGAAGTGGACTACCGATGTCCAGATGGACGTACACTAACGGTGGCAATAGTGTCAAGTGGTGCGAAATTGTCTGTGTACTTTTGAACCCTATCATGATATACAAGCACGTGTCCCATTTCGCGAATCGCGATTCATGCCTAGCTAGACAAACCTAGCTGATATTGGCTTGTCTGCAGCACAGATACCATGTTAAGAAATGGGTTAGAAGACTGTCCGGCGCATAGGCAGAGGAACCATAGATCTTGGGGTCACTGTGGACATATCGCACAATATAATGCTCTCACTATTTACAAGTGCTGCGCGTTCTATCTTCAACGACGTGTGGTGATGAGGGTTTTACGCATTCTCTTCAGAAGCCTGGAGTTTTGCCATTTTTCGCGAGTCAATATTTGGAGGCACTGAAACAGTGCAAATGCGGGAAAAACTTCTGCCATAAGGTTATCCACATCAAAGATATGGTGGATGTCCGAAGTAAATTGTGAAGTGATGTGAAGGGGATTCGCCAGGAGTTTGTGATCCGTAAATGCAATGAACTCGTAGCCCTCAATGAAACGGCGAAGATTTTTGATGATAGCATAAACAGCTAGTGGTTCGTGACAGGAAGTGCTTTATTACACTTCACGTGCTTCCTGAAGAAGAAAGCAAAGGGTTCTCAGGTGTCGTCCATAAGCGGCTGCAGTATGGCTCCAGTAGCTGTCGTAGCGGCATTAACAAGTATGTTGAGATGACGTCTGACGTCCTGACGCACCAACACAGTGGCGTCTGTTATAGCCATCTTCATTTTTTGAAAGCTTCTGGAGCCATGTCAGGGTAGTTAAAATGTACACACATTGAGAAACAAAACGGCGGTAATAACTCACAACACCAAGAAATGTGCGCAGGGATTTGAGTGACGTTGGCAATGTAAAGTCTTGAATCGCCTACACATTTTCAGAAAAAGGGAAAACATCATGTCCGCCGATCATATGTCCCAGAAAAGTTAGTTAAAAAACGCCGGCCTGGTACTTGGTCAGATTAACTGTTGCCGACTGCTGCAATACTTTGGTGAAAACCTGTTTTAAACGGCTACGATGAATGACTTCGTCCGGACTAGCCATCAGAATGCAGTCCAAATAGGCAAAAGTAAAGTTGTATCCGAGCAACCATCGTGAACGAAGCACTTTAAGGTTCTCCCAACGCTGTGTAGAACAAAGGGTGTGTGAAGAAGTCCAGAGACTAAAACGTGTTTTGACTGATGTTTTTGGATAACATCAGGATGAACCGGGATCTGACGATAATTACTTGTCAGGTCAAGTTGACTGAAGATACACGAATGGTTCTAAGATCCGGTAAAGCGATATACATTGGGGAATCGGTAACGATTCGGGGTCATTTTAACACTGAGAATTTGGTATTCACCGCAAATAGTCCAGTCCACTTCTTTGTTTTTGGGCATCACATCCATGGGTGAATACCATGAGTTATTGGGTGGATTGACTATTCCCATCCCAAGCACCTGTTGAAACTCGGCCTTGATGGCAGGAAACCTCTCCAAGGATAACCGCCATGGTTTAGCGGACGCAATCGGGCCAGTCACCTACTTCTGATGCCAGACATTAGAGGTGACTCAAGGTGCACCACGATTTGGCTGGAGGATCTCCGGAAATGGCAGAAAAATAAACGCGTAAGGACTGTAAGTGTCCATAGTGGAGTACACCGCGCCCGAAGAAGGCATCTGTGTGAATCAGTCAACTAATGCTTACCGGCATCTGCCATCATCTGATGGTGCTGTAAGAGATCTGTGCCAATAATGCCGGTGGTCACAGTGGAAAGAGCAGCGCAATACAAAATTGAGGCCAAGGAATATTTGACCGCAGGTTGTGGTGGTTGAAACGTTGGCGGCACGAATTTGTGGAGACGTTGGCCGCAGACGCCTCTTACTTTAAGGTGGAATCACGCCGGCACCTGCCCCAGTGTCAACCATAAAGTGTATCCTAGAATGTCGATCAGTGACGAACGATAGGCAGTGCGGAAGTAGTTCACCAGCGGTATTAGTTGCCATCACGTGAAGGCTCATGTCCTTACCGCCTGTTAGCCTCAAAGGCGCAAACTCAAGTGCACATTTTGGCATCAACATCATAACGTCTATGGTACCAGCACGAATCGAGCTGGGATCTTCATGGTTTGGAAAGCTTTTACCGAACGGAGGATGATCTGTTGCGCCAGCGAGACATGAAATGGTAGGCAGAATCACTGAAGTGCAAGGAACCTGCGAGATCAGATGGAGTGGCAGTGGACTGTCCAAACTCTTAACTGGCGAGTCAATAAACTACTCCGATATTGTCACCCATATGACAACCATGGGCACACGGAGGAAGTGGCCATCATGACATCTCCGACAGCATTAAAGGCTCTCAGGTAATAAGAACCAGCCTCCTCCTCCATGATCATGACAACAAAATTCAACTCAAAAGGAAGGAAAGTCACAACCATTAGATGCTACGCTACGCACCTACAAATAATGCAGGTCAAAAGAAGAGGCAGCAGTTCTACAGACAACTGCAATCAGCGCTAGACAGAACTCCAGTTGGTGACATCCAATGGGCGACATCAATACCAAACTGGGAGCAGACAACACAGGAAGAGAGCTTGTCACGGGTCGAGAGGCACTCAGTGAAGTGAACGGGAATGGAGAACTGTTTGCAGATTCTGGCGCATTCGACAATTTAGTGATTGAAGGCAGTATGTACAAACGCAAGGATATTCACGAAGCGAGCGACATGGATTTGATTTCACCAGACACCAGGACACACTAAAAATCAAATCGACTTCATTTCAATCCCAAGAAAGTGGAGACGCAGCCCACTGGACACGAGATGAAGGGGCTGCGTAGATGTAGGTTCACACCACTCACTGTCTAGTGCAAGGAACCTACCTTCCAAATCAAGTTGGAAGCCTTCAAAAACGTTGGCGGCAGACGACCACAGTTCAAGCTGAACATCCAGAACAGAAAGTGAGCTGAAGGACGAAGCCACAAAAGAAGTCTTCACATCATTCAGCCATCAGGACAAAAT